GTATAGGATGAAGAGAGCAGTGGTGACTACTTCATATGGTTGTTGTGTGCATTAAATGAGATAATCCACAGAGAACATTTGGCACAGCATCCAGCATATAGCAAATATTGTGTCCCTTTCATACACGACTACCAGAGAATATGCTCCAGCAAAATAAAAGATGAAAGTATTAAAGAAGAAGATAAGGAGCTCAGGAAATAAGAAATATGGTTGGTTACGTGAGAGGCTACATTTAATAAATGTTAGCTGTCATAATGACTACTTTAAGATCAGACGTCATTAAGTCTGAGAAGGCTGGGATCCTGTTATTTATATTATTTATGATATCACCTCTTTGTCCATAAAAAAGAAATAATAAAACCCATCTTACTGAGCTCCTGTGAAAATTAACTGAGGTGATACCCACGCAGTACCTTCTGCACACATAGTACTTCTGCTATACAAGGGTGTGTTATCTCACAAGCTTTTCAAAAGGTAGAATATGGGTGCACAGAATGAGGATAACTTGGTACTTCGATGCATTTCCATATTTTCAACCATTGATGCGTTATTTTTATTTTATTTTTTGCCAAAGTAATACACGAGTCATGCAGACTTAGAAACAGTCTTTCCCAGACCAGTCATCACCATCTCCCAGTCCTGATCCCCAGAGGTAACCACTCCTAACTCTTAGATGTTGTTTTCCTCTCTTATATCTTCTGTTATTTACCCCTTATTTCTAAACAATTCTGCTGTCATTTGTTTTTTAAAAAATCCATAAAAAATACATTTGCATTGCTACTTATTGATATATTCACTGTAGAACTTTATGAATCGACATATTCTTAGGTAGATGGTAATTCAGTTCCTTGTGTCATAGTTTTTTGTGTTAGAATATCAGTGATGGTTAGGCAAATGCTATTCATGTGAAGACAAGTTGATCGTGTAGATTTTTGTTACTTCCTGGAAATATTGCCTCTTTATTTGTTTTTTCATTTGCTAGGTGTTTTTTTTTTTTAATCCATTGTTTTAGTCTGCTTTTTGACTGCTGTGACCTCAGACTTGGCAAGAACAGTTCTAGAGGAGAACAAGGTTATTTGGCACACACAGTTTCAGAGGTCTCGGTCCATAGATGGCTGGCTCCAATGCTCTGTGCCCAGAGTAAGGCAGAACATCATGGTGCAAGGGTGTGGAAAGCCGCTTAGTACATGACCATCTGGAAGCAGAGAGAGAGAGATGTCCTCTACCCAAGAACAAAATATAAACCCCAAAGGCACACCCCCAATGACCCACTGCCTCCAGCTACACCCTACCTGCCTACAGTTACCACCTAGTTAATTCCTGGTCAGAGGATTAATGCACTGATTAGGTTAAGACTCTCAGAATCCCATCATTTCACTTCTAAACTTTCTGGCCTGGTCTCATGCATGAGCTCTTGGGAGACACCTCCCATTTAAGGCGTAACACCTGTCATCTATTTCTCCCATCTGACCTTCAGATCTGTCATTTGCTAGCAGTCTTATAGGCATTCTGGCAATCTCCCCGGTGCACCTGTCATGATCAACCTGTCATCTTCACCAGCTGCTCCTTGCTGCTTCGTGTTCCTCCTGGGACTTTCTCGATGCTTTCCCCGATGAGATCCCTTACCTCTGAGCTCATCCTTTTTTATTACTTTCTTCCCTCATTTTGCTGGAGCATACCCTCTAGGAGCTGCCTAAGAAAAGGTACACAGGAGGTCGATATTTAGAGTCTCTGCCTCTCTAAAAATAAATTCATTCTATTTTCACATGTAGTCATTGGGTGGATATAGAGTCCTAGGTTTAAAAGTGTTTTCTGTCAAAAAATGTGAAGGCATTGCCTTGCGGGCTCCCATCTTCCAGTATTATTTTTGAGAGGTCTGATGCCCGTTCGATTCTAGGTCTGTGTATACAACCTGGGGTTTTCCCCTATGGAAGTTTCTAGGGTCTTCTCTTATTCCCTGGTGGCCTGAAATTTCACAGCCATGTACTCTGAGAAGACTCTTTTCCACTGGTTGGTTGCACCAAGCATTGCAGAGGGGTCCTTTAAGTCTGAAGACAGCTGCTTTTTCTTTCTGAGAAACCCCCAACATGATTTCTCCGACAATTTCATCACCTAATATATATCAGATCCCAAAAAGACATACAAGAAAGGGAACGTAATCTCCATAATCTCCTCCTAGGATTTCTGTTTATCTGATATTAGACCTTCTGAATTGAACTCATTTCCCCCCGCCTTTTCTTATCTTCCTTCCCTTCAATTTTTTTTAAAAAATGTAAGTTTTCAGGAAATTTCCTCAACTTGGTCTTCCAAGCCTTCTCTTGGTTTTACCTTCCTGCTGTGGTGGTTGTAACTGCAGAGAGCTCTCTCTCCTGCCTATTTCCTTAGTGCTGTCTTCCTGGTGACACCGTTCTATCTCTAACTGAATCTTAATTATTTTCGTGTGTTTTGTTTTCTCTTGTTCAGTGCCTCCTGGGTTCCTTGAATAAGTTTATCTCTTGATCTCTGCCTTTATCTGGAGATTTCTCTCAAACTTCAAGTGATCCTGACTCTGTTTCTTCTTCTTCTTCTTCTTTTTTTTTTGGTACCAGGGATTGAACCTCCAGGGGTGCTTAACCACTGAGCCACACCCGCAGCCCTTTATTATATTTTATTTAGAGAGAGTCTCACAGAGTTGCTTAGGGCCTCACCAACTTGCTGAGGCTCGCTTTGAACTTGCAATCCTCCTGCCTCAGCCTCCCAAGCCACTGGGATTATGGGCGTGTGCCACTGTGCCAGGCTGACTCTGTTTATTCTTAAGTGGATGTGACAAAACACAGTGGAATGAACTCTGCTGGACCACTAAGGGCTTCTCTTGACTTTAGCTCTGTCTTTGCTTATATATAGTAAAGTAACACTTCAGGGAAAATTTGCACACACTTTTTGGTCCTAGCCCTTAAAAAAGCAAGCTTTTTTATGAGCACCTGCCAGGGGCTGCCTATTCGTGACTAAGGGGAATCAGAGAACCCTGGGTCCAGACCCAACCTGTGCGCTAATATGACTACGAAACTCGCCAAGGTTTTATTTTCTTGGCTGTAAGTTGGTGATTTGTAATGGTTTGGATGTGAGGAGTTCCGCAGAAACTCACATGTGAGACTATGCAAGAGTTTGGAGGAGAATGATTGGGTATAGCCTTAGCTTAATCAGTGAATTGATCCCTGATGGGATTACCTGGGTGGTGGCTGGAGGTAGGTGGGGTGTGGCTGGAGGAAGTGGTTCGTGGGGGTGTGGCTACAGGGTATACTTTTTGTATCTGGAGGGTGGAGCTTTTCTCTCTCTCTCTCTCTCTCTCATTCTCTCTCATTCTCTCTCTCTCTCTCTCTCTCTCTCCTCCTGATCATCATGTGAGCCCCTTCCCTCCACCACACTCTTCTACCATGATGTTCAGCCTCCCCTTGAGTCCAAGGAATGGAGCCTGCTCTCTATAGACAAATACCTCTGAAACCCGGAGCCTCCAAAATACTTTTCCTCCTCTATAGTTGTTCTGGTCAGATCTTTTAGTCACAGCAGCAAAAAAAAATACGTCTTATAGGCATTCAGTATTATCCCTGGCAACCTCCAGGTTGTACCAAGCATTGCAAAGCGGTCCTTTAAGTCTGAAGACATGTGCTTTTTCTACCCTGAAGGGTCCTGGAAGTCTGTCCGTCCTTTGTGCCTAACAGTGTGCCTGGCACACAGTGACTAGTCTATAAGCGTCCGTCCATCGAAGGCCGTACCTGTAAGTCAGCATCTCAGGTGATCAAGAGGTTGACTTGTCCCAACAGAGTCCCTAGATGTTTTCCCTGACCTCAGGAGCACAATCTCCAAGGCAGTAATCAAAATTCTAAAACCAGAAACCCAAAATGCAGCCTCACCGTGGGCTGTCCTGGGCCTCAGTTTCCCCAAACTGTGTTGCCCCCGGCAGGAAGGTAGAACAGCAGGTGCGAATCCACAAACTTCTTTACCCTTTTTTGAAGTGGAAGCCTTTCTTACAGTTTAAAAAGGTAACTAAAAGCTTTGTATTTTCTGATGATGAAAGAAACGCTTTTTAACAAATGCAAATGCAGAAGAATGTCAATTCCCTTGGGTCCTTCCCTATGCCCTGCCGCTTGCTCCTGTCCCAGGCACCACCGAGCAGGGAGACCAAGGAGATGGTGTCCTCCAGAGATGTGTGTTCCTGCCACCTCCCTGGGGCTGAGGGCCTCTGACAGCTTGATCCAGCCTGAGCTGACAGCAGACAGGAGCAGCTTCTGTCAGCCCTGGGAGAGCGGATGTCACCTGTGATTAATCCTGAAAGCCCCAAACCAAGCAAGTTCCTGATTAAACAGAAGCACCCCAGGGTCCCAAGTAGAGAGCCCTGGGAGCAGCTGCCAGGTCAGGTGCAGGACTCTCATCCCCTTCCCAGGGTTGAACGCCATCTTCCCTCTCCCAAAAGCTTACAACCACAGCTGGGCTCCTGGAGCCGTGTGGCTGGGTGTTAGGAATGGCCTTGTCAGGGTCCATGAGGAATGTCACCTTTGGGAAATTACGGAGTGTATGCAGTCATGGCGTGTTTCTGCCCAGACCCATGGCAAGATAGAGGCAGAGGATGTGATTCACAGTGAAGGGAACTCTTTTGGGTCAGGACGTGGTTTGCTGCCTTTGAATTCATAACTGACTTAGAACATCTCCATCCTGTAGAGGTTCTGGTCAGAGCCCTGTGAGGACATCCCCATACACACACACCGCCCTGAGTTACCCAGGGCCACCACCTGCCCTTGTGCTCCACCCTGGAGGTCTTGGAAACTGTGGTCAGTGGCCTCTCCACTGAACAGAACAGAAGCCCTTCTGCCCCACTGATGGGCCACTGGTGACTGTCACCTGGAGAGACACGCACCTCAAGATTCACATCCTTGGATTTTTGTGCACACCTTCAGCCTTTAGATGCTTTCCTTCCTCTCTACCTCCGCTTCCTGCTCCAAATACTCTTATCTTTCCCTTTTCAGATCCCAGCTATCTCAACTCCAGATGCATCAGGAGACTGGCTTGAAGGAAGACAAGATCCAGCCGGAAAGTACAAACAGCAGACTTCAATAGTAGCTTAGCAGCTCCTGTTTATTGAACATCTACTACATGCCAGGTATTCAATGTATATTATCTCTTTTATATTGAAAAAAACAGAAAGTGGGGTGGGGGTACCTGGGACTTGGTGAGGATTAGGAAGGAAGGGAGCAAGTTCTGACATAAGCCCATTTGATGGACAATCAGACAAAAGCCCACTCAGCCTGGGATACAGCTGCGGTAAGACTGTGGCAGCCAGCAAAACGTAAATCATACAGGGCCTTGGAGGTCAAGATCAAGATTTTGAAATTTATTGTAACAGCAAGAGAAAGCCACATGATAAATGTCCTGGATGAACAAGGGGCTGTCATGGAGTTTGGGCACAGGTAGTGCGTCCACCTGGTCCTGACTTCCCAGGGACAGGTGAGCAGAGTGGCCCTTCCCGTGGAGACTGGCTCAGGTACCTTGGGTTTGTTTTTCGGTTGTTTGTAGAGAAACCAGTGTGATCTAGGCTCTGACTCAGCCTGGAAGCCAGGCCCTGCTGAGTGCCGGGTCAAGGCCGTCAGAAGCCCTGGCTGAGACTGAGGTCAGAGATGGACCGTCCGCCCGGCAGGCAGTTCAGATTCAGAGCCTCCATATCTACGCGTGCATTTCTGGGCAAATGATTTTCAAAGACATTGCCCAGAGCTTGACCCACACCACTGAGCTGGTCCCAGTGACAAGTCTGAGTCAGGCCGAGTTGCAATGCTGTGTGTGGAAGAGAAAACACGTTTGAAATCCAGAGATGTTTTGTTCTATTTTGAGCTTCGCTAGACTACCTGTAGTCTTTGTCCATGAAATATTTCACACACTTAAAAATATGTGTGTAATGTGAATCCATGAGACAAAGAACAATTCCACACTCATGTCCCCAGCCAGAGCAGTATTATTACGTCCCTTGGGTGCCTTTCCAGGTCACAGCCAGCCATCTGACTGTCCTCCTCAGGGGGTCATTCTGACTTTTACCAGTCCCTTGCTTCTCAGTGAAGAGTCCCCATATATCCTTAGCTGTAGTGTTTCATTGCCTATGTTTTTTTTTTTTTTTTAAGGGGAGGGGGGCGTTGGTCCTGGGGATTGAACCCAGGGATGCATAACCACTGAACCACATCCCCAGCCCTTTTGATTTTTTTTTAAATTTTGAGACAGGGCCTCACTAAGTTGCTTAAGGACTTGCTAAGTTGCTGAGGCTGGCCTCCAAGTTGCGATCCTCCTGCCCCAGCCTCTCCACCATGCCCATGCCCAGTTTATTGCTTTTGCTTCGATGCCTCCTGTCCTGAATTTCTGAGACCGGCATGTGGCTCAGCACTGTGTTCCTGAAGTTCATCTGTGCTGATGCATACAGCTGTAGCTTTTTAATTTGTCACTGCTGTAGAGTAGGCCACTGTGGAACATATGGGTCATTTATCCCTCCACTGTGTTAGGGTGTTGGTTTCTGGAGTGTGCGAGGCTGCGGTCAACCGGTGTGCCCGGGCCTCCTGAAGCACGTGGGGCTGGTCCCTCGGAGGGAAACCTGGGTTGTGTGGAGTGTGTGTGTTCGACCCTCCAAGGCACAGCGGACTCGTTTTTTCAATCCTCAAGCTTTGTCCAACCAGTAGCAAAGGTCTGTGGGCGAGCCCCGCACCACAAAGAGGTGCTGCTCCTGTAGGTGGGAGCAGATGGGTCCTCTCACCCTTCCTCTCTGCTCTGAGGCTCAGCTGCATTCTTTTCCCTCTTCCTCTGCCCAGCAAACCAGTTCAAAATGCTTCCTGCTTTCCAAGGAGAGAGGAACCTTGGAGCACCATAGGGAGGGGAGGCCTGGGCTGGCATCCCAGGTCACACTTGCTCTGTGGCCTTGAGTGTGACCTTGACTTGGCTCGCTGTGTCTGGGTTTCCCTGTCTACAAAACCTGGTTGATCATGTCCTCCTCTCAGAGCCACTGTGATAATTAAGTGAAACGATTTTGGGGTGGCAGGGTAGCAGGGATTGAACTCAGTGGTCCTTGACCACTGAGCCCCATCCCCAGCCCTATTTTGTATTTTATTTAGAGACAGGGGCTCACTGAGTTGCTTAGGGCCTCACTGTTGCTGAGGCTGGCTTTAAACTCAGGATCCTCCTACCTCAGCCTCTGGGAGCCGCTGGGATTACAGGCGTGCATCCAGCAAATGAAGGGTTGAGGGTGGGACTCAGTGCCTGGCACACAGTGGCATCCAAGGCGGGCACATCCAGTTCCACCAGCAGGTTTGTTGCATATCTCTCTTGGCCTTGGGTGCCACTCTCACTCTGCACACTAACAGTTTGTGTAGGTGGCCGACCCTTGCAGCTGAACTCTGAGCATCTCAGGTAGCGGGGACCATGTGGGATCCATCTCTGCACTCTCTATGCCCTGCATGGTGCTTGTGATGCTCTTGAATGGTCCGCTTTCCCCTCTGTGGCTGTACAGCTCTGTGCACGGGGTGATCTTGATGCAGGTTTCACCCCCATCATCTGCTGTCTTGCTGATGGCTGCCAAGGTGGCCACACTGCCACCCTGAGACTGCAGGAGCATCTCTGTGGCACTAAGTGCTCCTGCACTCATGGCTGAGAAGCAGTGCTTCCTAGGCTTGTGCCTTCTGAGCCCCTACGAGGCATAGCTTTCAGTACCATTCAATTCTCTGCAGCGAGCACAGCGTCCAGCAAGTCTTTGCACAAAGTAGTTGCATTTATTACAGGAGGCTGTGGGCTGCCGACAGGGGTAGGCCCAGCTCCACCTGGCTGCAGGCAAGTCCCACCGTATGCATGATAGAGCTTGGGGGCGCTGGAGGTCCTGGGTTGATGAGGTTAGTGGCTTGGGGAGAGGGACATTCTCAGGACACCCATCTCTCCTCTTGGCTCAGCGCTCCTGAGGGTATTCACGTGCCCTCTGGTGAGTCCTCATGTCACAGCAGCAACACTGAGCATCATACTGACATCCGCAAGCTCAGTGACAGGGTGCCTTTTCCTTGTGTCAAAGATCAAGGAAAACTACCCCGATTGCCCCAGCAGACTTTCATACATGCTGCGCGGGCCGTGACAAAGCTTCCCGTGCTGATTCCCAAAACACTGGTAGAGATCAAACAAGATCCACTCTTTCAGCTCAGAAGATGCCCGGCCTCCCTGAAGCATGAGGTGCCTGATTCCTGGAAAAAAACTGGGATTCTGTTAGCAGGAAGAGCAAGGGGCATGGTGCCGATGAGTGACAGCGGTGTCTGCCACAAGCTTGGGAAAGAACTGTTGCATCGCATTCGTAGGATGTCAACTCTTTGAAGAGAATAAAGGTCAGTACGTTTTCCTCTGTGTCCTGATGCATCTTCAAAGTGAGCTGCTGCAGTGGGGAGTTATGGGAGACGGAGGCAGACTCTCAGGTGACCCAGGTGTTAACAAAAGGGTTCATAAAGAATGGACGGTCATCATGTTAAGGAAAATAAGCTGGGCACAGAAAGACAAGCCCACGTGGCCTCACTCATACGTGGAATCCAAAAACGTTGATCTCATCTAGGTTGAGAGTAGACTGCGGTTACCAGAGGCTGGGCAGAGCACAGGGGAGGAGGCTGAAGAAGGGCTGATCGATGGATACTAAGTTAGGGTTAGGTGGCAGCAGAAGGTTCTGGGTGACTAGATAATCATTATGGATGGCACATTTCAGAAAAGCTAGGAAAAAGGGATTTGGAATGTTTTCACCATAAAGGAATCTGTCAAAAATAAAAATAAAGCCAGGGGCCATTAGCACACGCCTATAATCCCAGGGGCTCGAGAGGCTGAGGCAGGAGGATCGCAAGTTCAAAGCTAGTCTCAGCAACTTAGCCAAGGCCCTCAGCAACTCAGAGAGACCCCATCTCTATATAAAATACAAAAAAAAAAAAAGAGCTGGGGATGTGGCTCTGTGGTTAAGCGCCCTTGACTTTAATTCCTGGTACAAAATTAAATGAACAAATAAAAATAAGAAAGGGCTCGTAGAGGTTAGGATCGAAGTCTATGGAGCAAAGTTGAATGGAGACAGAATCCTCGTTTCCATCACTGTCGATGCGGTATCATACAGCTCACAGGTATCCTGTGGTTCTCTGGTTGTGTAGAACAAAGTCCCATAAAATAGCTCAATTAAAGGGAAGTTTATTAAGGCCTGGAACAAATACCAAATACCATAAGCCAGGAGCCAAGGCCAAGGCTCATGGGGATAGGAACTGAGTTACGCCCCTGGGATGGCAACTTCTGTCCCCACTTCATGGGACCACATGTTGGTCTCACTCAGTTGAACAGCTTCCTGTGCACACTCACCCCTTCTCTACCCCATAGCTTCAACCTCCCTACTTCCCCAGTACCCAGCTCAGCCTCCACAGTACCCTCCCCTGGCCACCGTGCCACCTCCCAGCCCAGTCCCCCATAGCTCATGCACCCACCCCTCCAACTCTCTTTGGCCCCATATGACAGGCCCGGGTCTGGGTATCCGGCTGTTGCTTGCTTAGCCTGTGGATTGGTCCTCCTTGGTCCCAAGGGTGCCAGGGGATTTATTTGGCTCCAACAAGATATCAGGGCTGTGACCTTTGGAGAGACAGTAGTAGGAAGGCAATACTGGACAAGGGCAGATCAGCTTCCCCAGACGTGGCTTTTGCCCTTGATGACTTTTTCCCCAACTGCACTTGTAATTCACAGATACGGGCTCTTTTGTAAAGCACTGGAGGAGTGTTGACCACTAACCTCCAAACTTATTCCTCTTCCCAGATCCTTTCAAATTTTCTCTCTCACTCTCTCCTCTCCTCTCCTTCTCCTCTCTGTTTCCCCCCTCCTCTCTCTTTTATACACAAACAACTACATAATTATAATCTTGCTTTGTTTGGGATTATGTAATTGATTTTATATTGTATTATATTCCGAAATTTAATTATTTTTTTAACAATGTGCCTTGAGGGTGTCTTCACATCACTACCTCCTTTTAAAAGGTGGTCTAGTACAGTATAAAAGGACCAGTAATGTCTCCTGCTGAAATAATTAGGTTGTTTGCAATTTTTCCCATTACAAATAATGCTAAACGTTCAGGTGAAAAACTGGGGGAAATTAAATATCCAGCAATAGAGGAATGGATAAATAGTGTTTTCTTATAATGGAATAATGTATAACAATAAAAAAAAAGAGAATGAACCAATCAAAAGTCAGAGATAGTCAAGTAGGATTTAAAAAGTCGTTTTTAAAAAGGTCATCTAAATATGGTCTAGAGTAGACACACTGGACTCAAAGATGTAAAAAGACAGAAAGATATCTATCATTCTAGCAACAACCATAAGACCTAAAATGGCTCTACCAATATCAGACGAAATAGACTTTAAAACAAAAATATTACTAGAGATAGAGAAGAACATTTCATAATGATAAAATGGTCAATACACCGGGGAGATATAACAGTTATAAGCTTATATGCGCTTAACGGTGCCCCAAACACATGAGGCAAAGACTGAGAGAATTGGAGAGAGAAATACACAATTCAGCCATAATAGTTGGACAGTTTATTACCCTACTTTCAATAAAGGGTTGAATGACTAGGCAGGAGAAAAAAAAAAAGAAAGAAACAGGAGAGTTGAACAACACTATAAACAAATTAGACCTAGTGGATATCTATAACACATTCCATCTAACAGCAGCAAAACAACTCAGATTTTCAAGCACATACATAAAACACTCTCCAGGATATCTGCTGGGCCAAAAAAACAAGACACAGGCTATGTATGAAGTAAAGAGAGAGAAGGTTCCTTATGTCATGAGTTCTGAAAGTTCAAATCCAAGATTGGTGGCCCCAATGGTTTGGGCCTCCCATGAGGACAACACATCTTGTTGGAAGTGCATGTCACAATGAGTAGCAATTTCTTGAGTCAGGAAGCAGAGAGGGAAACAGAGGATGGACAGGGTCCCATAATACCTTTTGGGGACATGTCCCCAGGGACCTAAGAACCTCTTAAAGGCCTACAGCACCTTCCAGTAATGCTACCCAGGGGACCAAGCTTTTATATAAAGACTTTTGGGCAACACTGAACATCCAAACTATAGCACACCCTGAAAACTATAAAATGTTGCTGAAAAAAAAAATAAAGAAGATTTAAATGCATGGAAAGATATCCCATGTTCATGGACAGAAGACTTAATATTGTTAGATAGCAGTACACCCCAAACCAATCTACATACATATGCAATGAATTCACTATCAAAATACCAGCTGCCTTGTCTTGCAGAAATTGACAGTCATCCTAAAACTTACATGGAACTGTAAAGGGGCACCTAATAGCCAAAACAACTTGAAAAAGAAGAAGAAGGTTGGTGCATGTGTATTTTCCAATTTCAAAACATACTACAAATCTTCAGTAATCAAGACAACGTGTTACTAGCATAAAGATATACATAGAAATCGGTAGAATAGAATTGAGAGTCCAGAAACAAACTTTACATTTATGGTCCGTTGACTTTTAAACAAAGTGCCAAGATCATTAACTGGGGAAAGAATAGTGCTGGAATGACTAGGTGTCCACATGAACTTGGACCCCTACTTCACATATGCACACACACTAACTCAAAATGGATCATAGGCCTGGATATAAGAGCTATAAAATATAAAATTCTAAGGAAAAATAGGAATATGTCTTCATCACTTTTCGCCACTTTGAGTCAGACAGTGATTTTTTTGATGCATGCCAAAACAAACGCAAAAAGAAAAAAATTGAACTACACAAAAATTCAAACTTCTGCATTACAAAAATTGTCTTCAAGAAAGTGAAAAGGCAAGTAACAAAAAGGAGAAATATCTGCAAGTCCTATATCTGATACAGGACTTGCATCCAGAATATATAAAGAATTCCTACAACTCAATGATGAAAACAGAAGTGAACAGTTTTGAAATGGCCAAGGATTTGAATAGATACTTCTCTTTGCAAATGGCCAATATGCGCATGAAAAGATGCATATCATAGGTCATTAGGAAATGCAAATCAAAACCACAGTGAGATACCGATTCACATCCAATAGGATGGTGACAATGGAAAAGACAGACCATAACCAGTGCTAATAAGAAGCAGGAGAAACTGGAACCCTCAGGCATTACTGGTGTGCATGTAAAATGGTGCAGCTTTGGAAAGCAGTGTAGCAGTTCCTCAGTATAAACATAGAGTCACCGGATGGCTTAGGAATTGCACTCCTATCTGTCTATTCAGGGGAAATAAAAACATACCCACATGAAAACTTGGACATGAACGTTCATAGCAGTTGTTTAGTCAACTTTTTCACTGCTGTGACTATAAGACCCAACCATCACACCTGTCGAGGAGGAAAAGTTTATTCTGGGGCTCATGGTTTCAGAGCTCTCAGTCCAAGGACAGCAGGCTCCATTCCTCGGGGCTCAAGGTGAGGCAGAACAGCATGGCAGCAGAATATGGCAGAGGGAAGCAGCTCACATGAAGATCAGAAAGTAGAAAGAGGGGTCTCCACTTGCCAGATACAAATATATACCCCTAAGTCATGCCCAATTCCCACCTCCTCCAGCCACACCCCACCACGTCAGTTACCACTCAGTTAACCAGGGGATTAATCACAGATTGGGTCCTCTGAACCTTCTTGAATTGTCTCACATGTGAGCTTTTGGGGGACACCTCACATCCGAACCATAACGGCAGTATTGTTCATAAGAGACAAAAAGAACCCAAGTGGCCACCAACCAATGAAAGGATAAACAAAAATGTGCCATATCCACAGAAGGAAAAAATCATCTGGCAATTTTTTAAAAAAATGAAACACAGACTCACGCTACAAAATGAACCAACCTTGAGAACATTATGCAAAGTGAGAGAAGCCAGTCACACTGGGAAAAAAAAAAAAAGACAACTCTACTAATTGTGTGATTTCTTGGGTATGGAACATCAAGGAAAGACAAATCCATGGAGACGGAAATTGGATTAGTGGTTGCCGGGGACTAGGGTACTGGAGGGAAATGAAGAATGGCTGATAAAGATATGAGGTTTCTCCTTGAAATGATGAAAATGTTTTTAAATTGCTTGTGGTGACATTCGCACAATTCTGTGAACCATTTAAAAGGTGAATTGTAAGCCATGTGAATTATATCACAATGAAGCTGTTTTTTAAAAAATGTGAAAGAAAGTGGATAAAACTTGAAAATATTATGCTAAAAGACACTGGTCACAAAGACCACATATTATATGAGTGTGTGTGTGTGTGTGTGTGTGTGTGTGTGTGTATAAAATGTCCAGAATAGGCAAATCCATAAAGAAAAAGTAAATTGATTAGTGGTTGCCAGTGAGAGAGAGGGTAGGAAGAAATCAGAAGCCACTGCTAATAGATCTGTGGTTTCTTTTACAGAGGGAAAAAAAAAAACATGCTAAAATATTAGGCTGCGGTGATTACTGCACAACCCATGAGTGCATTAAAAAAAAAATGTGTGCTTTAAGTTAGCAATTGTGTATGGTATGTGAATCTCATTAAAACTGTTTTTTTAAAGTGAATGGATCAGTATGTATCCACCTAGATAAATCTCAAGGCAACATGGGGTGGGGGTGGGGAGAAGGCAAGAGGAGAAAGAAAGCATACACTATACCACTATCCTATCATTTATGTGAAATTTTAAAAAAATAAATAGTATTATGTCTTTTTGAGAAAAATATATTCTTAGTAAGATAAAAGCTTGGAAAAGGTGTAACTCCAATGGCAGCATTTTCACTCTCCCTGTAAACAACCTTTTAAAATTTTTATGGCTCATCCTTCCATTGTTTGTGTTTAGTATATAAGGAATTAACATTAATATACTTAATTAATAATTAATATTATATTAATAATTTAATTAATATATTAATATTCATATCTGTTCTCAGATAAAAGGTAACATGCCATATATACTTGACTGTTTTTTTTTTAACTTAATATATTCCAGAGACCACTGCAGAAGCACGTGGAGAGAGGTCCTGGGAGGCTCTTTGATTGACCTCGCTGGGGTTTATGTCAGCGAGGAGGCTGGCCGGGGATGGATGACGACATGGAGACCCTCAAGGACGAGGAGGACGCCCTGTGGGAGAACGTGGAGTGCAACCGGCACATGCTGAGTCGCTACATCAACCCGGCCAAGCTCACCCCCTACCTGCGCCAGTGCAAGGTCATCGATGAGCAAGACGAAGATGAAGTGCTTAACGCGCCCATGCTGCCGTCCAAGATCAACCGGGCAGGTAAGGCAGGAGGAGGCTTGTAGGGAGGAGGCTGGGCCATCCCACGAGGCTGCCCCAGGACTTACCCTCCACTTAGCTGGGCCAAAGTGGGGTTCAAAAATCCTGACATCCAGAGGCCATTGCCCACTCCTGTCCCCTCCCAAAGCTGTCTGTGTATAGAACTCCAAGGATCTATGAACTTGGGGAAGGGTGGAATTACATCTTGATTTTATAAACTTCAACTGAAATTTAGCCTTGCCTTCAATTACGCATGACAGCAGGTGACCGCAGCAGCCATAGGTAACCTCTGACTCTGTCAAGAGTAAAAATTACAGGTATCTCTATGTCACATTACAGCTTTGCAGATGTTTTAAAATACCATTTGCACTCCTCTCTGTTGAAATTACAGTAGTTATTAGACCTGCCAAGAGATCTTGTTATTTAATGCATTAACAAAGAAATACGTCTATTACTAAATCTCAAATGTGTTTAATATTTGATACCTGGATTTTATTACAATTGGTTTCCTTTGTAACACAAGGTATTTAATTTGTTTAAAACTATTATTCTGGAAAGGGATCCTCAGCCTTTTCTAAAGTGCCTGGCAGGGGGTGGGTGGAGGGGGAAGGGGCATGGGAATTGACCATACTCGGGAAAGGTGGTGTGTTTCTGGAACTTGTTTTAGTTGTTTATATGTACACATATGCTTCTATACTCATCCTTGTGTATGGGCACTGCCAAGTCATGGTGTAAAATGTATTTCTTTCTGTGGATCACAGTTGAAGAAGCTTGGAAATCCCTGTCCCACAGCATGGCTGATAAGTGGCTCATATGCTGTGACTCTCCTCTGCATTCACAGCAGACATCCTTAATTAATCACAGCGTGCTTTCCCACTGAGCTTGGATATAACTTTGGAATCCTTCTCAACACAGTGCTCCAGGCAGCTTCCTCAAACCATCAGGATTCACACAAGATGAAATGTATTTATCATATCTGTCCTAGGGAAAAGATGGAGTTTTAGGGCCTAAATGGAAGAAATATCTGAAAATAAAACACTTAAGGATGGGACAGGAAGTATAAACAATAAGTAGAATGACTATGGTCTTAAGCCTTTTTTTTTTCCCATCACTACAACAAAATAACTGACACAAGACAACTTTATAAAGAAAAGAGGTTTATTTAGCTCGCAGTTTTAGAAGTCTGAGGGCAGAGCACTAGCATCAACTCGGCTCTGGGGAGGACCCTCTTGGCTACATTCTATAACAGCAGGAGTAAATAAGGAAGAGATCACAATGCCCAGCAGGAAATCAGAGAGAGACTGAGATCTCACAATCCTTTCCAAGAGCACACCCCCAAATGACCTAAGGACTGACCTCTGGGCCCCATTTCTTAAAGGTCTCCACCACCTAGTATCTCCACACCAAGGACCAAGCTCCCAGCACATGACCCTCTGGGGACAAACAACATCCAAACCACAGAAATTAGATGGAAACTGGAAGTTGCTAGCAGATTACATCTAGGATAAAGATGTTTCCAGACTGTGTGTGATAATCCCGAAGAAGAACAGGGAGCAGTGCCTCTTTCCTATGACTTCTCCAAAAGCTTCCCACCCACCAAGTTGTTTTCCTGCTCTGAATCCCAGAGAAGCCTGCATGATTCCCTATACTTCTACCTTCCTTCAATCAGAAAAGCTGGTACCCATATGGTTCATTTTAGTGCTGGTCCATTGGGGAGTTCTGCGGGTTTCATGTGGCTGCAATTCCCTTCATCCCAGTTCTAGCAATTTTTAGAGAAAGAAAAGGGGGCACTCACTGTATCCCTGCTGAGGGCCTGGCCCTTTATAGACATTATATGGATTCCATGATACAACCCAGGAGTGACCAAACCTGGTGAGCGTCTTCTTAGAGCTTATTGAGGAATATAAGTCCAGGATAAGACTGGCCATGGAGACTTGTGTCCAGTCAGACATGTATTCTTCTTCTCACGGGATGATCTGGACTTTCCTCTAGGCCGACTGTTGGACATTCTACACACCAAAGGGCAAAGAGGCTATGTGGTCTTCTTGGAGAGCCTGGAGTTTTACTACCCAGAACTGTACAAGCTGGTGACGGGGAAGGAGCCCACCCGGAGGTTCTCCACCATCGTGGGTAAGCAACTTGGCCATCGGGAATACCCGGACTCTAAGAAAGGGTGTGTGTGTGTGTGTGTGTGTGTGTGTGTGTGTGTGTGTGTGTCCCACAGCAGGGCAGTTTTAAAGCTGTAAGTCTGTGATATATGGGATTTGGGGCTATCCATCACACAGTCTGCCTGGGAATGAAAGGTAGATGACAGGGACAGACTGAAGCAGGGGCCAAGAGAAGTGAGCATTGGCAGAGCCTCCCCATGCATGGTATGGGAGCAGGTCAGAAGTCCACTCTGCCTTCGAGATCTTTTCCTTGTCTTCTCTGCTCCCTTTCCAATGTCCCAGGGTCCTTGGGCATCTCATCTTCTTCATGTTCCTTCCTAAGCACTTAAAAAAAATTATTTTTAGTTGTAGCTGGACACAATACCTTTATTTTATTTTATTTTTGTATGTGGTGCTGAGGATCAAACCCAGCGCCTTGCACGTGCTAGGCTAGTGCTCTACCTCTGAGCCACAACCTCAGCCCCCCTGCCTAAACATTTTTTAAATCAGTCTTCTCCCTGTCTCAGACCCTTCAGCCCCATCAACCCCCTTCATCCATTCTCGGTCTGCTCCAATGCTCTCTCCAGTCTCATGCCACCCTCCCCTGCCTAAAATCCTCCAGTGGTTTTCCACTGTTTCTCTGTAAAGACTCAGGTCTTTAATGGGACTCACAGGACCCTAACACTCTAGTCCCTGCTGAGACTCCCAGGCTCATTTTTCTGCCCCTCCCTCCCTCTCCTCTTTCCTCCTCTTCCTCCTCCTCCTCCCCTCGCCTGTCCTCTTCTCCTCTTCTCTTCTCTCTCTCTGGGCTCAGCCACTTTTTTATGGACTGGGGATTGAACTCAGAGTCACTCAACCACCGAGCCCCACCCCCAGCCCTATTTTGTATTTTATTTAGAAACAAGGTCTCACTGAGTGACTTAGTGCCTCACTTTTGCTGAGGCTGGCTTTGAACTCGCAGTCCTCCTGCCTCAGCCTCCCCATCTGCTGGGATTAGAGGTGTGCACCACCACGCCCAGCTAGGCTCAGCCACTTTGGTCTTCCTTTAGCTCCTGAAACATGCCAAGACCCTTCTCTCCTCCCCATGTGTTGTTCCACCTTCCTAGAATATCTTTCCCTCCTGAACATTTCATCTTAACCATCAGGGACCTTCCACCCCCTCTAGCTACCAGCCTGGATCAGGTCTGTCATTATAAAGTCTCAGGGCCGCCTGTGTCTTGACTCTAGTGACACCTGTGTGTGATCATTTGACTGTTTTGCTCACCCTGAGTCCCCAATGCCTAATGGGCAGTAAGAGCCAATAAGATGTTGGTGAGTGAATGAGTGAGCGAATGTCACCTGCCCCGTGGGGAACCTCTTCCGTGCCCTGCCGGGTCCTCGGGCCTGACTGGGTGCCCCTGTGCGCAGTGGAGGAGGGCCACGAGGGCCTCACGCACTTCTTGATGAACGAGGTCATCAAGCTGCAGCAGCAGATGAAGGCCAAAGACCTCCAGCGCTGCGAGCTGCTGGCCAAGGCGCGGCAGCTGGAGGACGAGAAGAAGCAGCTGACGCTGACCCGGGTGGAGCTGCTGACCTTCCAGGAGCGGTACTATAAGATGAAGGAAGAGCGGGACGGCTACAACGAGGAGCTGGTCAAGGTCAAGGACGACAACTACACCTTGGCCATGCGCTACGCCCAGCTCAGCGAAGAGAAAAACATGGCCGTGATGCGAAGCCGGGACCTCCAACTCGAGGTAGGGGCTTGGAGGGCTCCTCCCAGGCTGAGCCAAGGGGAAGCGGGGCCTCAGGACCCCAGTAGGCACATGCCGACGCGCATGCGCATGCACACATACCCACAAGCCCCCAGAGCTTTATGCCCAGGTGGGAGACAGGGAACCAAGGGGCCAGTGGTTCCAGGTTCCCAGATCCACCGTGCACATGCGTAGGCGCACCCACTGATGCCTCGGGCTCAGCCAACTAAAGCCTCTGTGTGCAAATTAAGACTTGTGCGTAAAGACGCAGTAGAGCTTAGTACTGACCTTGACCTTCACTGTGCATGCTCTGCACATGTGCAGAAATGTGCACACAGGCTCCACGCCCCTAAGGTAAAAAGAAAGAAAGAAAAGAAATGGGAAACTAGGGTTTCAGTGGCAAGAGGAGAAACGAGACCCAGTCCCCAGATTATGATGCTTAGAGAAATTAGTAAGGAAATGAGCGTAGCCCCTGCTCCTAGGGAATGAACTTCTCAAAGCTAGGACTCTTTGTCCATCACGCTTGTATCCACAAAGTTCAGCGTGGTTCTTGGCATAGTGGGAAAATCCGTGCATGTACCTGTGAACGACCCACCAGCCACATGATTGACGTGAAGTTTGTCTCCTAAATGCAGAAAGAGAAAGGAATTTGCTTCATTCATTTCTTCTATTTATTGAGCGCCGTGGTGCATCTGCTCTATTCCAGAAATATAAATCTCAAGACTAAGGTCCTCCTGTCATGGAACGTACATTATAATCAGAAAACAAATACATAAATAGTTTGAGTGCTATGGAGAAGACAGAATGAGGATAGAGAGTGGTGGAGCTGTTTTATCTAGGGTGGTCAGGAAAGGTCTCTGAGCAGGGGACACCCAAGAAAGGGAGGAACCTGGAAAGTCAGAGGAAATGCAAATGCAAAGGTCCCAATTTGAAGTAGAGAAGAAGCTTGGCAGTTTTGTTTTGTTTTGGTTTGGTTTGGGGGGTTTTTTTGGTGGTGGTGGTGGTGGTGGTGTTATTTGTTTGTTTTGGGTGACATCAGGGAGCCAGCAGGGCAGGGCAGCCAGATGAGCAAATGGTATAACAAAAAGAAGCTGGGAGAGGTGGCCAGGGTCCAGATCATAGGAGCATAGTAAGAAATTTGGAATTTATTCCATCTGTGATGGGAAGCCACTGAAGGATTGAGAGCTGAGGAGTAACAGCTGATTTATGTCTTAGAAGGATCGCTCCGGCTTCTGGGTGGAAAATAGACCTCAGAATATTTATTAAGCACCTGCCATGTGTAAGGCACTGTGCTAAGCACTGTGGGGGACATGGGGATAAATAACCTGAGCTCTGCCTGGGTCACTTACAATTTAGTGAGGCAGACAGATCAGTAAACAATCCTCAAGAATTCAGGGAAGTTGAGTCCATAGCAATAGGGCATTGAAGTTAAGAGTGTGAACTGTGAAGTCCTATGGGTTTGAGTTCAAATTCTGGCTTCTGGCTCCCCCACTTCCTTGGCTATTGGCCTCAGTTTTTATTTATAAGTGGTGATAAAGAAGATAAAACCTGAGCTGGGGTTGTGGCTCAATGGTAGAGTGCTTGCCTAGCATGTGTGAGGCACCTGGTTCGATTCTCAGCACTGCATATAAATCAGTAAGATAAAGATCCATTGACAACTAAAAAATATTTTAAAAGAAGAAGAAGATAAAATCTGTGCCCTGGGATTATTGAGGTGTTGCACCCTATGTTTTTGGCAGAGTAAGCCCTGTACTTTGGGACTGGGGATCTGCCCCAGCCTAGGATGCTTCAGTTAATCTTCAAAGACACTGAAGGGGAAGGGGAATTTTGTTGCATGACCAGGAGGAGAGGTTTCTGTGCTGTTTTCCGCAGGGCCGGGGGAAGCTAACCTGAAGCAAGTGAACTTAGAAAGTTTCCCTCTTAGAACTTCCTGCTGTATAATGTTTCCTTGAAGACATATTAATGAGAAAGTGTGTGTAGCATTGAAAGAACACCCAGTGAGCTGAGTCCCTAGGTCGTCTCTCTGCCGCAGGCTGCTTCCCTGTGTGCCCCTTTCTCCCGTGTCTCAGGCCACACTGTGCAGTAGCACCCCTTTCCTTGCTAAAGCCATACCCTCTCTACCTGCCAGATTTCTTGAGGCTGTTCTCCCTACAAGCCTAGATTTGAAAAATGACACCTGCTCCTCTGGCGTCTCCCTTCCTTGCAGCCCTTGAGTGCAGTGTGAGGTCCCTTAGCTTGAGGAAGCAGAGAAGCTTAGTCACAAAGGTTCAAGATACCTGCTGAGCCCAGTTCCTGGTGCTAAACTCTTGAGGGTGATGCTCGGCATGGCTGCAGTCATGCTTTTCAGAGGCAGCTGCTGCTTCTCCAGGAGGCCACTCTTCCTGACACTAAATCCAGGCAGGTCCTTCAGGCCAGAGGTCCCGAAGACTTGGACTCCCCTGAGTTTCAAGCTGCTTTTTGTTTCGTTGTCTTTAGCAATAGTGCAGTGTGTTCAAATAAAGTCTGGTGTGGATTCCAAGAGGACAGAATCATCCATGAGCAGAGCTGCTCTGAGGACTGAAGTCAGGGTGGTGGCCAGATCTCTGGCTTCTCAGCCATCTTTTGCCTCCCTCCAATCACCCTGTGGTTCTCCAGGGGAAGCCCTGAGTTCCAAGGACCTGTTTGAAACCCATCATAAAAGGCCACTGAAATCAGTAGCAAATACTAGGGCGACACCCGCTTGGGTATCCTAGTCTGGAACCTGTTCTATCCTACAAATTTCTCTGAGAGAATTTTCTAAGGGACGGATAGCTCTTTAGAAGTATTCTAATGTGGCATCTATACACAATGGAATTTTACTCAGCAATAAAAGAGAGTAAAATCATGGCCATTTGCAGGTAAATGGATGGTGTTGGAGAATATAATTCTAAGTGAAGTTAGCCAATTCCAAAAAAACACATGCTGAATGTTGTCTCTGATATAAGGAGGCTGACTCATAGTGGGGTAGGGAGGGAGAGCATGGGAGGAACAGACGAACTCTAGATAGGGCAGAGGGGTGGGAGGGAAAGGGAGGGGGCAGGGGATTAGCAAGGGTCCTGTAATGTGATAGACATCATTATCCAAAGTACATGGATGAAGACACGAATTAGTGTCAACATACTTTATATACAACTAGAGACATGAAAAATTGTGCTGTAATAAGAATTATAATGCATTCCACTATCATTTGTTGTTTTTTTAAATCAATTAAAAAAAATTCCAGATACAAAAAAAAAAAATTAACTCATCGGGAACTCTTCATCAACAAGGAGATGATGATATGGTTTCCTGCAGAAAGTTTCTGTGAGCCTTTCCCCACCTCCAGCTGGAAGGAGGAGGAGGGGGCAGAACCAAGCTGGTGCTGGAAGCCCAGTGGGATCTGGAAAAGCGTTGCCTCTTCTGTTTCTTGCCAACGGCCTTCTCCCCTCACCCTCTTGGGTGTTTCAGATCGATCAACTCAAGCACCGATTGAATAAGATGGAGGAGGAATGTAAGCTGGAGAGAAATCAGTCACTGAAACTGAAGAATGACATTGAGAATCGGCCCAAGAAGGAGCAGGTCCTGGAATTGGAGCGGGAGAATGAGATGCTCAAGACCAAGATCCAGGAGCTGCAGTCCATCATCCAGGTGAGGGCATGCCTACCTGGGTGTGCGTCCAGAGCCTTGGCTTGCTGACGGCACATGACCTGTGCCATCCCCAGGCACCACACTCTCCTCCTCTGTGGGGTGAGAGTGACCAAGCCACCCCCCATCAGAGATGTCCCATTATGAGAGATCATACTTACAAACACATTTCCTTCCTGGAAGCACTCTGTGAAAGCCATATGGAAATCAGTGTCCTGGTGCTGAGGGAAGAGCATGTCAAAAAACCTCCCTGCTCTTAAAAAGATTCCAAAAACCTCAACCATGCGCTCTGTACATGCACCTCCTGCCTTGGTCATCCCAGAATCCTGTCTGGACAGAGGGGGGGACATCACTGAGGAATCATATTCCAAAGTGCATCTGCAGAGAAAGAAAAAAAATGCATCCCCCCTGCTCTCTCCAGGGTGATCCCCCAGGACTACCACCAGGGGCTTAGGGCTCTGTTTCTGAGCAGAGGCTGAGCCCGGTTTATCAGAGCAGAGTTGATATTTCCAGGGTGGTGTCTGGAAGGCAGAGTGGCCTCCCTTTGTTGTCAGCTCTGAAGTGTTCTGAGGAGCAGCCAGAGTCAGCTTGGCTCTGATAAGAGCTGGGAGAACAATAGGCTCAGTGTATTCCTAAGAAGAAGTGGGTCTTACACTTCTTTCCAGGTGATAAACTTCTTTAAGTGATAAGCTGCTTAAAGACCCCAAGAGAAATCTCTGGCTGCCTCTGCTTTCCTGCAGAAACAGAACCTTCTGTTCTCTCAGCATCTGTGGCTGAGTCTGTCGTCCCCGCCTTCCGTGTCCACCTTGTTCCTCGCCCCTAACCCCCGACACCATCAAACCCCTGCTACCTGTCCGCTCAGGCCGGCAAACGCAGCCTGCCAGACTCAGACAAGGCCATCCTGGACATCCTGGAGCACGACCGGAAAGAGGCACTGGAGGACCGGCAGGAGCTTGTCAACAAAATCTACAACTTGCAGGAGGAGGTCCGCCAGGCAGAGGAGCTTCGAGACAAGGTGGGAGCCAAGGCCACGGCAGCATCCCCTCCTTACCAGGGTGCACCAGTGAGTGCTACCTGGAGCCCCACGTTTCTTTCCAGGGACTGGATCTGCCCCTGGTATAAAGTTCCTCTGCTCCCTTGGAGTCTTTTATGAGTTTTAAGTATGAGCTTAGCTTAGCACCTGTCTTCCCCTTCCTGAGCGAGGAAGCCACAGGAAGACAGGCACCGTGTCCACACTGTCCTCCCCCATATTACCTGGTACATAGTAGGTCCTCAGCAGTCCACAGTTGATTGACTGGCCTAGCTTGGTGCCTTTCAGTCAGATCACTAGACCCCAGAAGGACAGGCTGAGCACACCAGCTCAGAGAAGTGCAGCCAGGAAACAGCTGTTGGCCCTGACCTATTGATCGCTCAATATGCGTATTGATTTCTCCATGTTGCTTACAGTACTTGGAGGAAAAGGAAGACCTGGAGCTCAGGTGCTCGACCCTGGGGAAAGACTGTGAAATGTACAAGCACCGTATGAACACGGTCATGCTGCAGCTGGAGGAGGTGGAACGGGAGCGGGACCAGGTATGAGTGCCACCCAGAGAGTGGGGGACCACAGGCTGCACTACAGGGCTCCTGGCCCAGCCACTGGGGTCCTTCAGAGAGTTTTTGACCAGTGTAATGTCACTGACTACATGGGGAATTACTCATGACTCTGTCTTTCCTACTTCTGTTCCAAACATGAATTCTATCCCAAGAGGCTTTGAGATCCATGGCATTTGGTGACCGGGGTGCATGGGGTAGGGAGGAGAGCCAGGTCCAGTGGGCCACATAATAGCACGGAGCTCAAATGCCTGGACTCTTTAGTGAGGACAGGTTCAGAGGCAAGCTATCGTTCATAAGATGTGTGCCCACAGGCAAGCTGCCCCACTGAAGCCTCCATCCTTGTCTGTAAAAGGAGAAATGTTAACCTAGCACCGCCCCATAGAGCTGGCACGTAGCATAGGCAGGACAGACGGCCCTGGGATGGCACTAATGAAGAGGGCAGAGACGACACCCAAGAGTCAGGGCCAGGAAAGAAGTGATGGAGATTACAGCCGGCACCTGAACTAGAGATGATGTGTGGCTCCAGCCCGCTTTGATTGGGTCAGGCTGAGGCACCCAAGTGGCCCGTCTCGCCTCCCGCCATAGGCCTTCCATTCCCGAGACGAAGCGCAGACTCAGTACTCGCAGTGCTTGATCGAGAAAGACAAGTACCGGAAACAGATCCGGGAGCTGGAGGAGAAGAACGACGAGATGAGGATCGAGATGGTGCGGCGGGAAGCCTGCATCGTCAACCTGGAGAGCAAGCTCCGGCGCCTCTCCAAGGACAACGGCAGCCTCGACCAGGTGGGCCAGGCGAGCTGCAGCTCCAACCTGCCGCCAGCTGACCTCCTGACACCAGGGACAGCTGGCCAGGGAACCACCACTGTGAAGGGGCTTTTTGTCCATTTGAAGGCAGAAGTACACGGTTCCCTCCCACATAGAATAACCTATGTCCTTCTTTGAACCTTCCATGTGTGTCTCTGTAGTGTTGAGCAGAAGCCACTCGCCTCATCTCGAAGGTAGAGGGAAGAATCCTGGCTCAGACAGGCAGCTCCACCATTAGGAGCTTTGGCACCTCTCAGTTGACCAAGTCAACTTCCCCTGGGCTCCCCCTGCCAACTGCACAGTCCTCAGTTTTAAAATGCCCTGCTCTTGTTAGAGCTGCCGGTGCCCCTGAGTAAGCCCACTGATGGGCAGGTGTGTGGCAGAGTGCATTTCCCAACAGGCCCCAGGCACCCAGAAATGAGTGAATGCCGCACCAGGCCAGATGAGATCATGGTCACTGTAGTGAGAACCTGCCGGGCACAGTCCTGGGCAGGTGCAGTGCAGGTCCCTCGCAGCCCACAGAACTATCCTTCAGGGAAGCTGCACTTACTGTCCTCATTACTGTCCACAATGGAAGGGATCAAGATGCAAGAGCTGAGTCACTGTGACTCACCAGAGCCCTGGGGAGACTGATCGGAATCCCTTTTTCCCCTGAGCAGACAGAATCCCACAGTGGAGGCAAATACAGGGACGTGGTTTCTCAGCACAGAACTTGTGAATTCCAAGTTCAAGGGTGCCATGGGAGCCCAGGGAGGAGTCCCTTCTAGGTTATAGGAAGACCCCCTGCAGAAGGATCCCTGCACAGCCTCAGGCCCCCTCCCGGGATGCTTACCTGGTGTTGCTGAGTGCCCCTCTCAGGGGGACCAGGATCCTGTGATGTGCTCTCATGTGGCCTTTGAGTGAAGCCCTCTCTGTTCCCATCACCAACCTAGTGCTAAGCCCAGAGAGAGCCCTGGTGAGTGCCCGCCCAAGGCATGCATGATGCTGGGCAGGACCAGCATGCCGGGCCACTGGGACAGCATGAGCAGAGCCCCAGAAGTGAGGCCTGGCAGGCAGGTGGCCGTCTGTGGACTGGGATATGAGGAGAGGACAGAAGAGAGCACAGGCAAGTCGAGGTTCCCTGAGTGCCCTGAGGGGTGTGCTGCTGTTCTGGGACCTTGGGGGGTCTTGTGCAGTACTCGCATGATTTTAGCTGAGGCATGGGGCTAGATGTTGGAAGGCAAGGGAGGCCAGGGTGAAGGGGCAGCGGCAGCCCCTTCACCACTGCACAAGAAGGTGGGGGCCCGGCCCAGGCCCTGGTGAGGTCAGAGGAGTGTGGAGCTAGGATGTCGCTCATGGCGTCCAGGGAGACGCCGGGTCAGGAAAGAGGAGGAGCCATTGGGTGTCAAGCTTGGGTGCCAGAGGGGACAATGGTGCCATTGGTCACCTATTCTGCTGACGGCCAGCTGCTCATCACACCTGTCTCCATCACTGGCTTCTCTGTCTCCAGAGTCTGCCCAGGAACCTGCCAGCCACCATCATCTCGCAGAACTTTGGGGACGCCAGCCCCAGGGTTAACGGTCAAGAGGCTGATGATTCTTCCACCTCGGAGGAGTCACCTGAAGACAGCAAGTACTTCCTGCCCTACCACCCGCCCCGGCGCAGGATGAACCTGAAGGGCATCCAGGTACCTGGGCACAGGGGCCCACAGCAGGCTGTGCCTGGCTCTGCTTAGGTCTTGGGCATCCAGGTTCACTTGACTAGTTTCAACCCTGGAAACAGAAATGATGCCAAGTTAGGGTTTTTATTTATTTTTTGTTTTGTTTTGTTTTTGTTTACATGGATCCCATTTCTCCCATAAGAGAAAGGAAAAGAGAGTGAAGTAAGCATTAGTTTCAAGTTCATTTGCTTATTTACCAAATAAGCATTGAGTGCCTGTCACAGTCAATACACCTGATCCCAGCTGTATTGCTCAGTGCCCAGCCAGTCCCCCTCAAATGGCTGACTCGATGAAGAGTGAATGAGCCAGAAAGTGCATGAGCAAATGGTACCATGTCATCAGGCCTGACCTGCCTCTGCCTCTCTCACAATGACCCCTGGGGGGGCCAAGGGTGGTGGGCAGCCTCATCCTTTTCTAAAACCCCCTGCCCTGTGCACCCAGCTGTGCCCCATCCTAGCTCCTCTGTCATGCTGAGAGCTGTGGGGCAGGCCTTGGGGAACTTGGGCCAGCACCTGCCTGGTCAAAGTCCAGGGGAGCTCCCTCAGTGTCCCAGCCCAGCGGCAGGAGACCCACGACTCATAACCACGCCAACCATGCTTTGAGAGGCAGGATAGTCTTGCCTGGTTTTTATTTTTTTCTTAGTGCCAATGACATGTGTCTAGGGCCCTGTTTGATTTGTGTCCTCTGTCTTGTTTCTTCCCCTCCCCTCTCTTTCAGCTGCAGAGAGCCAAATCCCCCATCAGCCTGAAGCGAGCGTCGGATTTTCAAGGTTAGTGAGAGACGCCCGGATCCCTCTCTCCCTGCCTCATCTGTCGCTCTGCCTCTCCTGGTCCATCTGTTTCTCCCACTGCAGTCATCAACCCTACAGGGCCGACCTGGGTGGGACCTTGGGGGTCTCAGGGTGGTGAGAGCCCATTAGGTAGTGATTAATGTTCATCATGATCCAAAGTGCACAGGGGCCCTGCCCACCACCTCGCCCTGGGTTTCCCTCCCCAACCCAGTGCATCTGTGCTCGGGACCTGCTGGGCGGGGACTTCCTGACCTTCCTCCACACCCTGGCTGGGCAGAGCCCAGGCTGGGGAGGCTGCCGGTTCCCCCGGGAGCCCCTGGGTCTCCCAGACACACTGACTGGAAGTCCTTCTTTTTGTCCTCGCCACACATCAGGGTGATGATCAGCTGCAGATGGTTTGTTAGGCAAATGCATACCCACCATGTTCAGGAAGGTTCAGGAAGAAGTGCTGGGGGAAAGCGTCACAGGCCACCCGAGGGAGCGGCTAAGGGCATGGGACGTTTCAACTGGGCCTTGAAAAGGGAGGATTTGGGAGGATGGTCCCAGTGTCTGAAAGGACCACTCTGCAGAGGGACAGCAGAGAGAAAGGGGAGGAGCCCAGGTGGGGTGCCATGTGGGAGGTGCTCTGCCATCCCAGAGGATAGAGAGGAACCCCCAGGGGCCCGCGAGCTATACCAAGAATGAGGTCTTCACCCTGCCCTGGTGACGGCCTCCAGGTGGCTTTGAGGGAACAGTTCAGACCTGGGCTTTGGGCAGGTTTCTTGGGGCATGGAGGGAGGAGGGGGAGGCCTGATCCAGGTCCCACGTGACTACATCTCAGTAGCCTTCTTTATCAAAAGGGACATGCACTGGGCCTGAAGCCCGCAGCAAGCAGAGAGTATTGTCCCCCAAAGGAAGAGAAAGGGCGCTGCAAGGTCATGGGGCTTCTTTGTCCCTCACCAGACCTGATGAGGGCCTAGTGCACGGTTCCTCCCCTGGAGGTGGCCACAGACCGGCTGCGTGTCTGTGTATCTGTGTGCATGCTCGGAGAGGTAGAGGTGGAGAGACAGGGTAGCAGAGCTGTCAGACAAGGGCTGCCAGGGGTGGCACAGACTTGTCCCATTGTCCTTGGCCCACGTCAGCAGGATGTGGTGATCCGTCCGTCAGGACGAAAGACTAATTGGGCAGTGATAGGCTCCCCCGAAGCTCATGCTCCTTAGAGGGGGCCCTGTCCACAGAGAGCTCCCACTAGGGACCTGTGTGGGGAATGCCATGAAAGTCTTCAGGGACAAGTGACACTGTTCAGCCTTATCTGGGTCGGGCCTGGATGGGGGCAGGGTCTGTTGGTGACGGGACCCAACTGCAGCAGCCTGTAGCTGGGAGGGGAAATGAGAATATTGGGGGCACTGTTCCTCCAGGTACCAGAAAAGGGAGGGCAGGTCCCCAAGGGGAAGGAGGCAAGAGGTTTGGGGCACCTGACATCCCTTGTCTTCCCTTTTCTCTCCTCTCTTGTTTCTACTTCCAACCCTTCCACCCCTCCCTGTTGCCCCTCTGATGAGGACAGGCAAGGGACATGAAGACAGGGATGCCAGCCCCAGCTCCTCCCACTCTCTGCCCATCACCAGCTCCTTCTCCAAGATGGTAAGTGCGGGCTGCTGCACTTGGTCAGCCCCCACCCCTCCAGAACACTGTCCCCCGGGCTGCCAGCTTATGCACCTGAAGGCCCCAACCCACCTCTCTGTCCTTCCCAAGCCCAGGCCTGGTAGCTAAGTCCCTGTCCACCCTGGTCTGCAGCCCAGGTCTTCCTTGCGTTTATTTAAAGATGTTTCTACAGCCTCACAATGGATTTGCACTCTCTTGCCACCTCCTTTCCCAATTTAACACTTGGCAGGGGGAGGAGCCGGGCCTTGGGCTGTAGCACAGCGTGGGCTGAGAACGCCACACCGCAACCTTGCAGCCGGGTGATCTATGAGGCCTGGAAGGGTGAGCAGGACAGGAACTGCTTATGCTCGCACCCCCTCCCATGACCAACACCTCCACTCCTCGGCTGTAGACCCCCTGAGTAGAGCCGCCAGGGTCCCAGCCACTAGATCCAATGTCACTCACCCCCAGCCAGGCAGCAGAAGGCGCAGGATTAGAAATTCTAACCCCGAGGGAAGCCCCAGGAAGCTTGTCAGCGCAGCTTCCCAAATCAGGCCCTGGGGGAGGCAGAGATGCTGTAATGAATGAGTCCTGTCTGGTGGCAGCTCTTGGGGACAGAATCCAAGGCTCATATTTGAGGCAGCCTTTGCCAGAAGCCTGCCGGTTTGGTTTCCCAGGTCACCCCCAAGCTGTCCCCACCCTCCCCAGCCCACAATCATCATCATGTCCAGAGCAGGCACAATCCGGGAACACTGGAGCTCAGTCTATGCAGGGTCGTGAGGCCCCGCCCTGGCCTCCCAGCCTCTGTGGTTCCCGCCAGCATCCTCCCGTGAGCAGATGTGAGAGCAGATGTGCTTCAAGCTCAGCAGGCGCCGCGGGCTGAGCACAGGCCTCCTCTGGCCAAGGTCGTCACTAAGGACCAGCTTGCTGTGCCTGTGCTGCCTGAGCTGGGGACGAGAACAAATCCGAGTTAGATTTCGTCCCTGTGTCTATAACATTGATGCCGGCGGAGGCATCAGCACACAGCTCCCCACCTCCCATGACACCTCTGCGCCGTGTGTCTGAAGCAGCCCCATCGGAGCCGCAGCAGTATCATGTCCATCACTGCCGAGCCCCCGGGAAACGACTCCATCGTCAGGCGCTGTAAGGAGGATGCCCCGCTCCGCAGGTGAGTGGCAGTTCGAGGAGGGGCCGCGGCCAGCTCCTCAGTCGTCTCCAGGCCACCGCGTACTCGCTAACTTAGCGGTCCTTGCAGCCAACTCGAAAGGTGGGCAGGAGGGACCCTCTGTACAGATGAGGAAGCCACAGTTCAGAAAAGAGAAGCAGCTTTCTTCCCAAGGCTACCTGCTAACTGTCAGATGGCAAAGCCTGAGTCCCTTGTCCCCATGCTGCCCAAAATCAGGTTCCTAGGTCCTATGACCCCAGAGCTTGGGCTCTTTTTGCCAAAGAGCAAAAGACCCCCAAAATGGCTTCCACACTTCTTGTCCCCATCTTCTTTATCTCCCAAAACTCACCGGGGCCCTTGACCAAGAAAACAACAGTAGAGGTGCACTCACCGACAGGGGTCACTAGTCAGGCCGAGGCCAGCACACAGCACACTCCTGTGTCAGGGGTGCAGGGCCCAGAGGAAGACATGGCCCCAGGAGCTGGATTCACAGCCCAGTCCTGTGGGACCCGGGTTTGGACCTCGCCAGCCACCTGCGCTGGCAGCTTCAGAGACCACCTGGGTCCCTCCCCAGCCTTGTCCACCCAGCTGTGTGATCACCCGTCTCCACAGTGGTACTCAACTCCAGCTTGGAGAGGTGTTTGAGGGACTTGGGGAAGCCATGTGGGGCGGCTGCGTGGGAGCCACCTGTACCTGTCATCTACTCCAAGAGCTGGGGGCAGTTGAGGTTTGCCCACCCACTCCCATCTGGAGGGTGCTCGGCTCTCTCAAGAGTCATCCAAGCACAAAGGGATGTCAGGTGCTCACTGTGTCCAAGGCTGAGAGGGAAATGCACGGCAGGAGGGGGCCCTGGGGCTCTGCTCACCTGCTGGAGGATACTGGGCCATCCACCCTCCCAGCCCAGTTCCTGGCCCATCTCTTTTACCTGCCTGCTGATCTTCCTCTCCCTCCTATACTGCCCTCTGGGAACCAAGACCTCTCAGAAAGCCAGAACATTCCAGAAGCCTCCCCCCTCCCTGGCCCTCCTGCACACACATTCACGACTACCCTCCCCAACCCTCCCCGTGTCTCGCAGCACAGTCGAAGAAGACAACGACAGTGGTGGGTTCGACGCCTTGGACCTGGACGGTAGGTACCTGTCGGATCTGAGCCGTTTGACAGGTGCAGCAACCTGGTCCCCTGCAAGGTCTGCCTGGCACACAGTAGGGCCTCGGGAAATGTGTGGAGTGCTTTCAGAGAGTAGGCTTGGCATGGAGATCAGGTGAGCTCATCTGTGGCAAGGAAATGCCCAGGTCTAGTGCTTACTTTGTAGGTATTCAGGCCCCCCACCCAGGTGCTAAGCAAGGGTTGGAATTAGATCTGAGTTTTTACAGAATAGTTCTCATGAATCGTAGCCATGCTCTGCGCGCCTGGCCCAGTTCGATCTCATCTCAGCTGCTGTCCTCAGAAATACAGTTGTGATGGTCTTGTGCAGTAGGTAGAGCCGGGCTGGAGACACATGTCATGCTGTTCCCTCCCTACACAAAATGCATAAAGGGGGGCTGGAACTGTGAGGGTGAGCATCCAGGTAGAGGTACAGGCAGGCAGACATAGGGTACCCAGGCTGTGAGTTGGTCCTGAAGCAGCCCTGTGGGCAGAGCTGGTATTAGGTAGATGCTGCAGACCTAGGTTCTGCCAGAAGCCACCCTCTCCCAGCCAGGAAGTCTAGTTCAGCCCAGCACACCTCACCAGGCTGTGCTTGGTGCCCAGGATACAGACTCCAGTCCCCAAGGCCTTGCCTGGCAAGACTGTGTGGTCCCAGCTCTGCAGCAGCTGGGTGGATGGACGCAGACCCACAAACTCGAGTCTGGAACATCAGGGAAAGGGGAGCAAGAGGCATTGAGATGGCCTCGCAGGGGACAGAGCCAAGGCCCAGAAATGTGACGGCATCCCCAGGCCCCTGCACTGCTGGCTGCCTGGGAGACCATGGCTCAGAATCCTCCGGGTGTGCCCTGCCAGCCCCCTTTGTTCCAGGGCTCCCCAACCCTGCCTCTGCGCCTTGCCAGGGGAGGCTGCCAGCAGATAAAACGAAAGATCAGTGGTCCCTCTTAATTGGGACCATCAGAAGCTATCAAGTGTTAAAGAGAGGTTAGCACCTAATCGAGGCTGGGTAATGAGAAGAATTGAAAGAGTTTTGGAAAGGGGATGCTGGGAAGAGAATCCTGGGCATCTGTCCAAAGTATTTTGCAGTGTCGGGAAAAATTCCCTATGCAGAGAGCCTTTGTTATCAGCCCAGAGCAGGATCTAGGCATCCCTCCACCCAGTGACCCAGTGCTGTGTGGAGTGGGCATCTTCCCGGGCTCTTCAGGGTCCTGCTGAGGTGGGGAGACAGGGAGGAGCCCAGCCCCACCGTCTGTGATACTGGTGGGTGATAGGGAGACCCCAGCGGGGGTGGAGGGCCCCAAAATGAAAACCCAGGGAGCCAATTTCAAAGTAAAACTACCAACCGGATGGCACGCTGCCCTTGTAGACACAAGACAGGATTCCTAATGATAGTTGGTGAGGCTTCATAATAAGAGAGGATTCCTGGAGGCAGGGGACTGTCTACATTGGACAGGATGCAAGAACTCGACCATTTAGCCTGAGGCATAAGCAGGGCTGTGGGGCTCTGAGTGCCCCAGAGCCTGGGCCTGCCCCTGCTCAGCCCTCCCAGGGGGCCGGGGCAGCCCTCGGGGCTCCTCCTGGCTGCTCCCACTCCTGATGGGCCCTGGCTCCTTTGCAGACGACAGTCACGAGCGCAGCTCCTTTGGTCCACCGTCCATCCACTCCTCCTCCTCGTCCCACCAGTCTGAAGGCCTAGATGCCTACGACCTGGAGCAGGTCAACCTCATGTTTAGGAAATTCTCACTTGAAAGGTACGGACAGTTGCAGCATAAGGGGAAGCTGAGGGGGGGGGCATGGGATAAGGATCTGTCCCCCCCTCACCACCTGCATTACCCCTGTCCTGGGATCTAGTCCTAGAATCACAGCATTCCCAAGTCAGAAATCACCCCCCTCTGACCCCCTGACTGTCCAGGGAGGGAAACCAAGCCCACAGAGGAAGAGCTTGCCTGAGGCCCAGGATGACCTGCTGGAGCCCAGAGAGCAGGGCTCAAAGGGCTCTTCCTGTGGTGGTGAGGAGTGGGCAGGGCAGGGTGGCCACCATAGGCCCTGGACAATGTCTCCCCAGAGACACCCTCTCTGTGTTCCACAGAGGGCAACTCAGCTCTGCATCTCTTTCTTTGGTACCAAGGATTGAACCCAGGGGTGCTTAACCACTGAGCCACATCCCCAGCCCTTTTTTTGTATGTCATTTAGAGAGAGAGGGTCTCACTGAGTTGCTTAGGGCCTCACTAAGTTGCTGCGGCTGGCTTGGAACTCTTGATCCTCCTGCCTCAGCCGCCCGAGATGCTGGGATTACAGGCGTGCACCACCGTCTCCAGCAGGGCCAGTGGTGAGCCCTCACTTGACATGGCCAGCAAGGTGGCTTCAGTGGCAACTCTCTTGGAGCCACAACATGCAACACCCAGTATGTGACAGACACCAGCAGCTATGCCACCGGGTCCCCCTCCTCCAACTCTAAACACCACTTCATTTCCTGACCCCAGACCCTTCCGGCCCTCGGTCACATCCGTGGGGCACGTGCGGGGCCCTGGACCCTCAGTGCAGCACACAACGCTGAACGGTGACAGCCTCATCACCCAGCTCACCCTGCTGGGGGGCAACGCCCGCGGCAGCTTCATCCACTCAGTCAAGCCGGGCTCCCTGGCCGAGAAGGCAGGACTCCGAGAGGGCCACCAGCTGCTGCTGGTGAGGGGCTGGGTGCTCAGGGCTGTGTGGACAGGGGACAGGGGTGCCTCGGGCCTGGGTGGAGCTGGGAGTGGGGAGCTGGAGGGAAGGAGGCCATGCCATCAAGATCTCGAGCCCTTTCCTCCCCACTCCTCGCTGGTTGGTCGCTGTGCTCCCGGGAGCTAACAGAGGCGCATGCACCCCTCATGCTTTCTCCCCCTCACTGGCCCTGAGCTGGCGAGGGTGCTCCAGGGTCCTGTGTAGAGCAGTCTCAACTCCGTGACTCCCCTCACGTGTCTTTGCCACCTAGCTGGAAGGCTGCATCAAAGGCGAGAGGCAGAGTGTCCCCTTGGACTCGTGCACAAAGGAGGAGGCCCGCTGGACCATCCAGAGGTGCAGTGGCCCGGTCACCCTGCACTACAAGGTCAACCAAGAAGGTGAGGTCTGGGCTGGACCAGCTCCACTCGAAGGCCCCTGACCTTGGGCGAGTGACCTCACCCCCTAGCACTCCACTTGCTCTTAGGTGCAGTGGGAAGAATGACCCCCACCCCCAGCACCATCAGAGGGTCTGATGGGCAGGCCTTGGAGAGGAGGCAGGGACCGGCAGACGACCTGCCTGGGGTACCTCCAGATACCTGCCCATCAGAGTGGATCTGGCAGCCCAGCCTGGTCCAGCTGGCCCCTCCCTGCTGGGTGGAAGTTTCATCTCTTGGGCTTCCTGTTGTGTCACAGGTAGCAGCCCTGGGGTGGCTCTGCTGGGCCAGGTAGGGCCCTGGAGCACATCACAGCCCCCCAGCCCTGTGTCCATGGTCCCCCAGCCTCGAGGCAGGCGGGCCTCAACCTCCCTTCTGGTGTGGCCCCAGTGGTTTAAACCACGGCACCCCTTGGCCATGCTCCTGGGCAGGGTAAGCTCAGCTTTGTCTTTCCCAGAGTCTGAATTCTTCTCTCACCTCCAGGTTTCCTGCATGATTATCTCTGCAGCTGGGTCTTATTTTTAACTGCAGGCTCATGAATGTTTCAGCAGAGCATAAACATCCAGCTTCTCCAGCCGCTGTCACGTCCCTTCCCAGAGTGCCCTGCCAGTGCGGGAGTCGATGATGCTGTCCCCAAACACAGGGCCAAGTAGCCCCACATATGGGACAGGCTCCTCCCCGGTCCTGTGGCCTGGTCAGCCCCACAGAAAGTCTGTGCCTTGCGCACTGGCCATCCGCCCCACAGAGTGCGCTGGGAGCCGCATCCCTGAAAGTTGTGCACAGGGGGGTCCTGCAGCCTGGGACTCCAGGCAGAGCTGGCTCACTGCAGCGGGCTCCAAGATGCACTGCGTGAGACCGGGCCCCACCGTGCCCACTCAGCAGGACGCTGACCCAGCTGGCTGAGATGTCCCTGGAATTTGTGATGCAGATACCTGATGAGTTCCCCAGGGCCTGGCTGTTAGAACGGCTTTAGCTTCCGCCGTGTTATTTGTCATCTGCCTGTGGAGCCGATTTAGAGATTTACATCATGGACTTACACTATGGATATTCACTTAGCGCTTACTGCACAGGCAAAAATTTACTCAGAAGGACAGTGACATTTAAATAAGGTCGAAATGGCATGCAGTATGGTCTTACCAACTTAGAAAATCAATTGGCAGTATCTACCAAAGCAAAATATATAGATACAAAATATATAGCTACCTGATAATTCTACTTCCAAGTAGACTTCCAAGAGAAGAGAGTACATATGTCCACCAAAAGCAATGTATAAGAGTAACTCATAGCAGTTACTCATGATAGCCCAAACTGCACACAAGAGAATGGAGAAAAGAGGAAGTGTGGAATAGTATACAGCCAGTACACTGCTGCTATGTTGTGACGTTACAGATGAATCTCACAGACATAACATTGAGCATAGTGGCTAAACCAGAAGAACTTATACTATTAATCTCTGTTGATATGAAATGAGGTACATCTTAGCAAGGGTGATAGCATTCAAGATAAAGATAAACCTTAGGAAAAGTATTGACAGAGAGGATTGTACATTACATTTGTGAAAATATACTGAGTTAAAGATGCATATGGTTTACTGTATATAAGTTATGCATCATTTAAAAATAAAGAATAAAACCGGGCATCATGGTGCACACACCCACAATCCCAACAACTTAGGAGGCTGAGGCAAGATGGCAAATTTGGCAAAACCCTGTCTCAAAATGAAAAAAAGAAACAAAAAGGATTGGGACTGTAGCTCAGTGGTAAAGCACCCCTGGGTTCAATCCCCAGTAAAAAAAGGAAAAAAAATTTAAAAAAAAAAAGAACCATATAAGGGTGGGAAAGGCATGGAGATTACAGCAGAAAGCTACTATGGATAATTGTTGCAACTTGGCATATATTGTAGCTCTGAGCTCCCTAGCAGCCAAGACAAAAAAGGAAACCCATAAATGCCAAGGCTGCTCATTGCCCAGGGAGTAGGGCTCTTCCCAGCCGGGAGCTCTTGAGAGGAGGGTGCCACACAGGCACATCGTCGGGGGGGGGGGGGGGGGCAGGAAGTAAATTTGCCACATTTGGGATGTCTGCTTCTTAGGGTACCGGAAGCTACTGAGAGACATGGAGGAGGGTCTGATCACCTCGGGGGACTCGTTCTACATCCGGCTGAACCTGAACATCTGCAGCCAGCTGGACGCCTGCTCCATGTCCCTGAGGTGTGACGACGTCGTACACGTCAGGGACACCATGTACCAGGACAGGCACGAGTGGCTGTGTGCCCGGGTCGACCCTTTCACGGACCATGACCTGGACACAGGCACCATACCCAGCTACAGCCGGTGAGTCCTGAGCCTGGCGTGGCCTCTGCTCCCAGCCCAGGGGGAGACGTGGACAGGGCTGGCACTGCCGTGATCGTCTGCAAGGGGCTTGGATGAAAAGTCCTCCCCTTTGCCTGCTGAACCGTGGGGCCCCTCCTCCAGGAAGCTCCCCACCTGTACAGGGACATTGCTCTGGCCCTCCACTGAGCCTCACAGTGCCCTCTTTCAGTCTGTGATGACCACACTATGCCCTGTCCTGTAATCACTCCTCATTGCTGTCCCAGGGGCCACAACCTGACAGCCATCCTCTCCTTAGCAGTGTGATCTGCCCTCTTAGGCCTCAGCACCGCAGTCCCCTCCTGTGACTCCTGAGGCTCTAACACAGCTTCTGAGGCCAGCCCTGCAAGGTGGCCATCAGCAGACCAGACGAGACAGGAGCCCTGGGCCTGTAGGCATGGTCCACACACAGCACCAGCCCCAGGCTCTCCAGGGGTCCCTCGGGCTCAGCCCCTGCGGTCCACAGGGCCGTTCCCGCACAGAGCTAGGCTCACCCTCCTCCAGAGCCAGAGCTGGCCCTCGCTCTGTCCCAGTCCCTGAGGTTCCTCCTTCTGGCCTCCCCAGAGCCCAGCAGCTGCTCCTGGTCAAGCTGCAGCGACTGATGCACCGGGGCAGCCGAGATGAGCCGGACACCACCCACCACACCCTGAGGGCGCTCCGGGTAGGTGTGGCGCAGCCCTTCGGGGTGGCAGGTTTGGCCACCTGTTCTAACAGCGTCCCCTGACATGACTGATGAATCCAGGGACTGGGTTCCTCAGGGAGGGACACACACCATCACCCCGGGCCAGGAGCCCCATCCTCCTGGGCCCGCCTTGGGCTCCCACATTCAAGGGGAGGAGGGTGGCTGCTGGAATGTGCCCTTGCTCTGCGCCTCTAGTCTCTGTGGGAGCAGGTCACCTTCCCTGAGCCTCCCCACTGCTCCCCGACACCCGACAGGGATGGGGCTGGGGACAGGTTTCTGCCTCTCTGCAGCCACATTACACTTGCGCATACTGCCAAGCCCGGCTGGGTCTGACTGATGGATAAACTCATTTCAGAACACCCTGCAGCCCGAAGAGCCACTTGCCACCAGCGACCCCCGGGTCAGCCCCCGCCTCTCCAGAGCCAGTTTCTTCTTTGGTCAGCTGCTTCAGGTGAGGGTCACCAGGTGCCTCCCGACTCTCCAGTCATTGCTGTGGCTCTGCCTCCCCCCCCCCCCGCAGGAAGAAAGGCCTGTCCCCAAATAGCTGCGCTTCGTGGTTTTACATCACGTGCAATTTTTCACGGTGCCTTACGTCTCCCATCCCAGCTCGCCCTCTTGGGACAGGTCAGTAAACAGTCTCTGCTTCTTTTAGAAGCAATTCCCATTTTTATTTAAAAAAAAAAAAAAAAAAAAAAAAAAAGATTTCAAGAAACTTACGGCCAAAAGGAGCTTAAGCAACTTGGCTGTTGAAGCCTGAATAGAAAACTCAGAAGTAATGTATCAGGAAAAGAAAATCATTCCAAACATTTCAGCCAGTTCAGGTCCTCAAATTGAGCATTAAATTTATCTGAGCATCCTGGCAGCCAAGGAATAAAGAGGAAACCCAGCAGGTTCTTAAATCTTATCCATTTGTGGAAACATTTCAGGTCTTCAGGACCAGAAAAGATTTGTCCCTGTACAACTCTAAAAAATAATAATAATAAAATAAAATTCTCACCTAGATCATTATGTGAGGAATCCTGACCAATACACTGAGTGATATCTTCAGAGGTGACTTCACATAAATACAGAAGCACACCTCGTGACCATTTCTTCTGTCACCAGTTGAAAGAGAATGATAGTAGAGTGTAGCACCCGACACACTCCTGTGGAGGCGCTGCCTGATTAGATCCCAGGGGACGGATCGTGGGGCCCACAGCTCCATCCTGATGTTGGAACAGAGAAGACTCAGAAATGGTTAGCAGAGCGACAGCTAGGTGGGAGGAGGCCCAGTCTGAGCCGTCCTAAGGACAAGATGTGAGGTGGCACACCATTGTGTCCACACACCTGCAAGGACCTGAAATTAGCTGCCAGCCCCCCTGGATTTGTGTCCCTGCAGAGGGAAAGGCGGGAAAGACCCTAAGGAGTCCTGGGAGTACGGTGTAAGCTTGCCTCTGTGCTCACCTTGGGGCGTCTGGGAATTGTGGACCGAGCAGCACTCCCCAGAAGGCTTGAGGGTTGTGGGGAGCACAGTGTCAGGGGAGAGGGAGGGTCCAGGGCTCCTCGGCAGCTGGAGCAGGCCAGCCTGAGTGCCAGCAGGGGCTGCCTGCCCAGTCGCCGGGGAAAGGCGGGATGGGCCCCAAGACAGTGGGGAGAACTTGGCATCTGCCCACTGCCTAAGGGCACGTACCCAAAAGCTGAAGGATCCTGCCACCTGCCGGGGTGTGTCCTGTTTCTAAAGGGGAAGGACGCTTAGGCCCCTGGCAAGCCAGGGTTTGCACACCTGTCTGCCTGTCCGTCTGGCCAGAAGCACAAGCCAAGGGATGGTTCTCCCCACCCTCCCTCTGCCCCTGCAGTTTGTCAGCAGGTCAGAAAACAAGTACAAGCGAATGAACAGCAACGAGCGCGTCCGCATCATCTCGGGGAGCCCTATGGGGAGCCTGGCCCGGTCCTCGCTGGATGCCTCGAAGCTGCTGACCGAAAAGCACGAGGGTGCGTGGAGACCGCCCGGCCCCACCCTGCTGCCCGGCCAGCCCCGGGTCTGCACCGCGCAAGCGCACTGCCACCCCACAGGCGCACTGCCACCCCACAGGGCGAGGGTGGGGACCTAGCGGCCTTCTGGGGAGGATACCTCCAAGCTCAGCTGTGGCTGACCCACCTCACGGTCACGTCCACCCAGATGCCCATGTTAATCGGAGCTGTTTGCTGGGATGTGTTGATCCCCACTGGGTGCTTTTTGCCATTTTTCAGGCCCGTGAGGGGCCACCAGGACCCCATGCCCAGCCCCAGCCCCTCACTGCCTCCCCTGCTAGGCCAGCCTCACTTAGGGAGGCCAAGGCTCCCCCATAGGTTATCAGGGAAAGGCCAGGGCTCCTCCCCAGGCTGGCCAGGCCAGGCCAGGGGACAAAGGAAAGGGACATGTCTCTGGTTTCAAGAAGTGGGTCCTCAGACTGCTTGGAGCTGGCTTTACAACAGCCGTCCCTAGGGCTGTGCTCTGCTCCCACACCCTGGCTAGAGAGGACTGGAGAAGGCAGATTTGAGGTCATGTGGTCACTCTGCCTGCAGGCTAAGGCTCTCTGAGCTCTCAGAGACCCCAAGGTCTTGCTCAGTGACCCTGCCCTCCTGCCATCTGGTGGTCTCCCTTTCTCCCATGCATTCACCCTCCCTCTGCCCGGGCCATCATGCCCTGGCTCTTCTCCTGGTCCCAGTCCACGCCCCTCCTCCAAAATGCCGCCCATGACCATCTGCTAAAGCAATTCCTTCCTCCAGAACCAGGCCACGTCATAAACCACCAGGGCTATTGCATATGTCCCACACCCCTCCACCTCCCGCAGGGGCATGGTTCCCTAGGAGAGGTTCCTGAGTTCCTGGAGCATTGTGTTGTCCGTGCAAACAGCCCCAGGTGTCCTGACATCCCCAGGAGGCCCCTAGGCTCCGTGAAGGGGCCAGCAGGGGTGCCAGGGCCTCCCTTACGCTTCCCCTGGTGGGCAGGGTGGGGCTCTGATGCCAGCCCCTCCTGTCCCCTGCCAGAGATGGACCCCGAGAGCGAGCTCAGTAAGGGCCTCAGCCTCATCCCCTACAGCCTGGTGCGTGCCTTCTACTGCGAGCGCCGCAGGCCCGTCCTCTTCACGCCCACCATACTGGCCAAGACGCTGGTGCAGAAGCTGCTCAACTCTGGGGGCGCCATGGAGTTCACGATATGCAAGTCAGGTGAGCCCTAATGGCATCTGCCACTGGAGTCACCTGTATTTAAAGCACAGATGTCCAGGCCTGCCCAGGACCAGTTAATGTTAGATGTCCAGGGCTTCCTTAAATTAACGTCACAGACCTCACCATCTTAGCTGTCTCCCAGCACACAGTTCAGAGGCATTGCTAGCACATCCACACTGTGCAGCCGTCTCCACATCCAGAGCTCTTCATCTTGCAGACAGAGACTGCAACCTTAAGGAGAGCCTCGTTTCCCCCCCCCCCACCCAGCCCCGATGCCTCCCTTTCATCTCTTGTCTGTGATCCAGGATAAGGTACCAAACTCTGTTGCTTCATCTGTAAAACCAGGACAATGGCAGCTGCTCCTCCCAGAGGACAGAGGCTCATGGATGGATAGAGCTGGTCCTCAGGCAGCACCCAGCATAGGTCCCAGGTGGAGCATTATGGGTCCACTCAGCTCTGAGCACTGGCCGTGCACCTCCTTGCCCAGCAAGGCCTCCCTCCCAAGCCCAGAAGTTGGGCCCTGCAGCCTTTTGAGGGTGTGCACCTGACCCTTGGGACAGGCCCCTCCAAAGACAGGCTTGGGGAGGACAGCCCTCCCCAAGCACTTATCAGCTGATCCCCAGCCACTGGGAGGCTCTGGGAAGATCCCACTGAGCCCTGACCTCTGCAGACATGTCCCATCTTTCCCCTGGTGTCTTCATTGGGCAGAGGGGCCAGGCCTCTCCCACTCAACTTCCCGTACCAAGTTTACAGACTGACCCTGGACTTGACTTAATGCTCCTCCTTCCACAAACAGAGAACCTGTGACCCAGAGAAGTTAGACATGTTTAGAGCCAGGCACCTTGGCACAGGCCTGTCATTCTAGCGACTCAGGAGGCTGAGGCAGGAGCATCTCAGGTTCAAGGCCAATCTCAGCAACTTAACTTGACAGTGTCTCAAAACAAAAAAATAAAAATAGGACTCCAGATGTAGCCCAGAGGGTAGAACTCTTGCCTAGCATGTAGAAGGCCCTGGGTTCAACATCCAGCACTGCCAAAAATAAAGAAATAAATAAAAGACATGTTCAGGGTCACCCAACAAATAGGTGAAGCCTATCTTCTTCCAGGAAGCCTGTCTATACCCCTTCCCCATACCCCTTAATGGTGTCAGGTGATGGGTGGGTGGATGGATGGACAGCCAAATAGGTGGATAGATAGATGGATGAATGGATGGATGATAGATGGGTGTATGGTAGGTGGGTGAATGGATAAGTGATGGGTAGATGAATCAATGTGCAAGATTCTTCATGATTGGCACCTGCTGGGCAGAATTGCACCCAGCACCTGAGCTCTTTTGTGCAGTGGATTTTAATGTTGAGGAGCCGAACACTCGCTCTGTCTTCAAGTCGCTTCACAGTCTAGTGAAGGAGACAAGAGTCATTTAACTGTGTGGCTGGAGAGGGACCAGACACCGAGTTCTGTGGAGTCTAGGAGGGGACAGCAAGGCCTGAAGAGACTGATCCATCCAAGACCACCGTGTGCCACCTTCAGGATTGGCCCTTCTCTCTGCAGATATTGTCACAAGAGATGAGTTCCTCAAAAAGCAGAAGACAGAAACCATCATCTACTCCCGGGAGAAGAACCCCAACACCTTTGAATGTATCGTTCCCGCCAACATCGAAGCCGTGGCAGCCAAGGTGAGGGGCTGGGCTGCTACACAGGCCTGGGGCACCCTGGTCATCTCTGGGCGGCCCTGGACCGTGGGTGCAGGTCGCTGTCACCTCCCCACGTCCCTCTCTCGGCCCCTCCCTCTGCCTTCTCCTCTACCCCTGGTTCTCCTTGTATTGTATTTTGGACTCGGCTTCTGTCTTCGGTGGTGTCCTGGTGCGAGTGAGCTGATCTACATTGTTTGGGGACATGCGCGTCTGGTCATAGTAACAAGGGCCAGGGATAGAGAGCAAGCATGTCAAGGTGTGAGACAGGGAAGCAGAGGTGGCCGTGTGGCCCTGGGAGCCAGGCGCCCTTCATCCGTTGGCCTGAGCACTGAGTCCTTTCCCCTCCCAGTGCTTGATGGAAGGAAAGCGCTCAGCCTGCAGCAGCGAGGGCCGGGCTCAGCCCTGGTGGATGGGCCCACGGGGTCCAGGACAGGAGCCCAGCCAGGATCTCAGCGCCACCACCCAGCTGGCTGCTACTCCTGCGCCCTCCCCACGGGAAGGCAGAGGCTGAGTTTTGGGGCAGCCTGGGGGATTTGCTGTGCTTTATAAAGTCTGGGCCAAGCAGCTTTGGAAGTTCTGACAGCAGAGCACAGAGGAAGCAGGCAGGCAGTGGAGCCCAGAGGCCTCCGCAGGAAGGTGCTACCTCTGAAATCCCATTCCCCAGGACTCAGTGCTGGGGACAGGGGCACATGACCAGCACAGGAGGGAGCATGGGGCTGCGGGTGCCTCTGGGCCTGGGTGCCTGTCCCTGCATGCTAGACGTGCGAGGTTGTGGAACTGCACACTTAGGGCAGTTGTATTCCAGCTAGATGTGAATTTAGTGTTTGTTCTGAGATGATCGATGCCTTCAGCAAGCCCTGGATTGTCCTTTGTCATGGGCCCTTCAGAGGCTCCTACCCACCAGCCTGGACTTTTTTTTTTTTTTTTTTTTTGGTACCAAGGATTGAACCCAGGGGTGATTAACCACTGAGCCACATCCCAGCCCTTTTCATGAATTTTTTAAAAATTTTGAGACAGGTTCTCACTAAGTTGCTTAGGGCCTCGTTAAGTTGCTGAGGCTGGCCTTGAACTTGTGATCCTCCTGCCTCCATCTCCTGAGCCACTGGGATTACAGGTGTGCACCACCACACCACCCCCAGCTCCCACCTTGCTTTTCCAGTGTCCCCCAGCCTGGAAGACCGGCTGGCATGGCTGGCGTTTTGTTGAAACCATCCTGGGGCCTGGTCCCTACCAGTGCATCACCCTGCACAGCAGGGTCATGAGAAGCGTCAGGCATGCAGGGACTCGGTCACAGAGGCCAGGTTTGGCCTTGGTTACTCCCTGGTTCAGCCAGTGGCACTCAGCACCGTCATGGCCCTGGCATCTGTCCAGTGAAGCCTGGCCCTGCTCCTGGCACCATAGAGGCTTGGGCGGGTGGGAAGGGGCACTGCTGATTGGTGGCTTGCTGCATTCACAGAATAAGCACTGCCTGCTGGAGGCGGGCATCAGCTGCGTGCGAGACCTGATCAAGTGCAAGATCTACCCCATCGTGCTTTTCATCCGGGTGTCCGAGAAGAATACCAAGAGGTTCAGGTAGGCTCTGAGACCTGCCCCTCTCCCTCACAGCCCACCCTGCCTCCCTGTCTCCCCGGCATGCCCCGTCCCTCCATGCATCCCTTCAGTAAGTCCTTATCCAGGACAAGACCCCAATCCATGGCAAAGGACACAGCTGGTAGGGACAGGTACTAGGAGGATCCCCCAAGGGAGACCTTGCAGGTGGGCCACCCAGACCCCATGCATCAGCAGGGACAGTTAGCCAGTGGACAGTGGTCGGAGAAGGTCCAGATCACATGGAGCTTAACGGCCACAAAAAGGAAGGATATGGCCTCTAATTCAAGAAGGAAGGATGTGGCCTCTACTTCCGAGGGAGACAGGAAGCCACTGAGGTTCTGGGCAGAGCCCGACAGTCTAATTCAGGATGTACATGGCTCCTCTCCGTGCCTCTGTTGAAGCACACAGTAGGATAACCCAGGCCTGGAGGATAGTGGGGGCCGAGACTCTGGGCAAGAGGGGACGAGAAAGTGGCTGTGGCCAAGCACTGTGACGCACACCTGTAATCCCAACAGTTTGGGAGGCTGAGGCAGGAGGATCACTTGTTCAAAGCCAGCCTCAGCAACTTAGTGAGAGCCTATCTCATAATAAAATATAAAAAGGGCTGGGGACATGGCTCTGTGGTTAAGTACCCCTGAGTTTGATCCCTGGTGAGGAGGAGGAGGAGGAAAAGGGGGAGGGGGGAGGAGAGGAGAAGGAGGAGGAGGAGGAGAGAAGGAAGGAAGGAAGGAAGGAAAGAAGGAAGGAGAAAGAATTTGCCACACCAGCCCTGCTTCTGGAGGCTCTCCTGGGGGTGGGCAGACAGTTGTGCAAACCCCTGGGCTGGCCTTTGTCCCCACCATGGGGATCCAGCCCCACAGCCTCCCCCTCAGCCCCTGTGGGTCTCCCCTACCAGGAAGCTGCTGCCCCGGCCGGAGACGGAGGAGGAATTCCTGCGCGTGTGCCGGCTGAAGGAGAAGGAGCTGGAGGCCCTGCCCTGCCTCTACGCCACCGTGGAGGCCGAGATGTGGGGCAACCTGGAGGAGCTGCTGCGCGTCATCAAGGACAAGATTGGCGAGGAGCAGCGCAAGACCATCTGGGTGGACGAGGACCAGCTGTGAGGCCCAGCGCCCCGAGTCTGAGCAGAGCCGCAGGAGCCGAGGGGGCATCCCGATGCCCCAGCCTGGGGCCGTGTGCTGGTGTCCCTCCAGGGAGCCCTGGGTGCAGACGTGGCCAGGGACAGACACAGCTAGGGAGGTGCAGGGCATAGCCGATTCCATTTGAGCCCGTCCTGCCCAGTGGTCAGGCCCTGCTGGCATTAGCAGAAGGACTGCCTGAGGCCAGCAGGCCCCTCAGAAACCAGAGCAGCAGGTGAATGTAATACGTAACGCCTGGGACAGGTGCGCTACCCTAGGGCAGGGCCCAGCAAGCAGGGCGGCTGCCAGCCCTGGGCACAAGCATCCTCCTGGGCAGGACAGGTCTGGGGGAGTCAACATGTGCTACGTGGTTATTTTTCTTGCATTAAAATTTCTAGTCCTTTTATTCATTTAAAAAAAAATTTTTTTTTAATTTAAATGTTTCAGAGGTTAGTCCCTCACAGTTCTCCTCAGTGGAACACCACTCCCAGCAAGCTCAGCGTAGGCGCAGAAGTGGCTCAGGCCCTGCGTTCAGGTACTGGGTGCAGGACGGTGGCCTTGTCCCCTGGACACTCCTGATTCACAGCCAGGTTTGGGTGTCCTCACTTAGAGCACCTGCCTGGACTCAGGGCATCCTGGTCTGGAGAGTGCGGGGTCCTCTCTGGGAAGGACCCAGCCTTCCATAGTGGCCCAGGAGGACTGAGGCCATGCTCCTCCCCAGAGAGTCACCACCAGCATCTCTGTCCTCTGCATTTGCTGTTCCTGCATCCTGGGATTCAGGAGGGGTCTGGGGGTGAGGCCCTCCAGTGGGCTTGCTCCCCCGGGCCCAGGAGCTGGAGGTGCAAGAGGGCAGTGCTTCCCATCACCATCAGCAGCTAATGCCCTGCAATTCTGAACCTGACTGGCACAACCACACCAGGCCAGGTGGTGGCCTCGGCTGAGCAGGGAGTGGGCAGGAACTAGGGGAGCAACTGCGAGTAGACAACCCAGCATCCCCATTGCCTCCCTAACAGAATCCTGATTTTATTCTGAGAATCTATGTGCACAGCTAAACATCCATACGTCCTAGCTTTCCTTGTAGCTAAGATTCATTAAGGAAACAAGGAAAAGTTTGGGGGAGAAACTCCAGTTTTCTGCCTGCAATGCAGACATGATGACTGGAGCCCCAGCAGTCATCTTGGAATTTTGAGGTGACCATGTAAATGGGAAATCCCACTCAGAGGTTGGTGGAACCGAAAGATAGAAGGAGACCGAGTCACCGGTGACACCCGAGAGCCCAGGACCGCTGCCCAGGTTTCTTTTACATGGGACAGAAATCAATTTTTATCTTGTGTTAAGTGGCTATTTCAGTTCTCCATTACCCGTAGCCTAGAGCAATTCCTAACAGACCCAGGAAACCCCCTTTTCTTTATGACTGCAAATGCCATGGGTTGATCTTCTGCGAGGTTTTTGCCACATAATCAAGATAGGATTTGTTCATAGAAGAACTGTATTAATAAATATCTCCTCCTAAAAAACAGTCCTGCGCAGCAGCCTACAGCAGTTTCTGGCATTTTGGCTCTCAGAAGACGAATTAGCCCTGCAAAGGCTGGGAGGTGGGAGTGGGTGGGTGGGGCGGGTCGCAGGAGGGTGCCTGGGTCTCTCTTCTCTCCCTGGATTATTTCCATCCCTCCACCCCTGAGTCAGAGTCGGCCTGGGGCTGCAACCTTTAAAACCAAAACCAATCCCCCTGACCCCCCCCCCAACAGCCAGCCAGAGCTTCATTTTCCAAATCAGCCCCTGCACTCGAGCTGGGTGCTCCGGGTCTGCACAGGCGGGGACCCCCGAGGTCCAGCTGCAGTTACTTAAGGCGCTAGATACCGCCAGGCGCCTTGTCAAAGCCTGAAGTTAAACAGTAAATTTCCCCCTAGCCGAGGCCATCGCATTTCCACTTAGAAGCTGTGCCGGGGGGGACAGACGTGACTGGAAAAAGAGACCCGGATAAAAGGCCTGCTGATTTATTTCTATTTATTTATTTAACTTCAGGGTCCTCAGGCTTGCGGTGTGGAATTGCCAAACTGGCTTGCAGAGGGTTTGGGAGGCCCAGGGTGAAGGGGGGCTGCGCTGGGGAAAGATCTGGAAAGACGACGGAGGGGTTTGCCTTCCAGCTCCAGAGGGCAGGGCCTGGGCCAGAGACACCCTAGCAAGGGGAGAGGGCCGGAGGGAGGGGGGGGTCTGCAGATGTCAGGCGCTGGCCCCCCAGAAACCAAGACTGACCAACAGGAAGTGCCCCTTCCCCCACCCCACCCTGGCTGAGGTCACCCACCCGGCAGTAGGTCAGCAGGTTGCTGGGGAAAGCAGAAGAGAGGCCCCGAGAGGGATTCTGACCCCATGGGGCTGTCATGAGATTAGAGAAGCCACAAGAAGACACCTGCCCCAGCCCAGCCCCAGTGGCTGTGGGACATGGGGACATCGAGCCTGTCATCTCTCAAGCCAGCCATGGAACACACACCCTTCCACCACAGAAGTCACAAAGCCCAAACTGCAGGGATGGGGGACCTCTGAGAGGAGGGTGGGGTGGCAAGACTTTGTTCTTGTTTGAAAATGCATAGAGAGCCGGGCACAGTGGCACCGGACTGCAATCCCGGGGGCTCCGGAGGCTGAGGCAGGAGGATCTCAAATTCAAAGCCAGCCTCAGCAAAAGCGAGGCACTAAGCCACTCGGTGAGACCCTGCTTCTCAATAAAATACAAAAAAGGATTGGGGATGTGGTTTAGTGGCCGAGTGCCCCTGAGTTCAATCCCCTGTACCAAAAGAGAGAGAGAGAGAGAGAAATTCTGTAAAATGGGCCCACGGTGCTGACCCCCACAGGCTTTCTTTTCCAAAAAGAAATTTGCCTGCAGCCCTGCCTGGCCTCAGTGGACAGGATATGTCACGTTCCTCAGCAAACTACCTGTTCACTGCAGGAGAAACGCAGGCCCAAATTAACAGTGATAAGAGGAACCCAAGTTACCCGAAGGGGGAGACTTTGGTGACCAGATCCCCTGAAACTCTGGGAGGTAAGGATAGTTCCTTTTAACCTTAAAATCTGTAAGAAAGTGTGGTGAAGAATCCTGTTAGAACCAGTCAGTGTGGACCACGGTGATGTCGAGTGGCCATGACAGTGGGGACTTGAAAGTCTGATGTCACCCTGCTGTCAGTCAAAAGTCAAGAGGTGGACCTGGGAGGGACTCTCTGGAAACTTCTCCGGGATCCTCAATAAAACGGGAGTGCAAGAGACGCACGCTGTCCCTCTCCTCTCTGAGAAGACCCACTCTTCCCCTTGAGAGTGTCCCCTTTCCCCTTTCCTATCCCTTCCATAAACCCTGCCCTGTTGCTCTGAGGGACACATCTGACATATTTCTGACTTAATCACAGGAATCTGGGTTGGAGGGGGGGTCTTCATGGTGCCTTAGTTTCTCAGAGGGCCCCAGCTCTGTGAAAGGTTGAGGCTGGGACCTCCACCTCTCCTAGACACAGACTGAGCCCTCCTCCTCCTCCCCTGCACTGAGGGACCCCAGTCCACCCTCTAACACCCAGCTGGGCCCTCAGTGGCTCCCCAGGCCAGAACCAGGCTCCCCTCCTTCTCTCTCCTTCCCTCAGTGCTCCTCCAGGCCTCACCCTGTCACCCACTCTATTGATTGATCCCTTAACTCTCTGCCCCATCCATTCTCTTCTCCACCACCATCTTGCTCTCCTCTGGCTTCTGGGCTACACACACGCTGTCCCTCTTCTCAGCACCTGGGGTGACCTGCCCCTACCTGGGCTAAGACACACCCTGGGCCACAACCCCTGCTGAACGGCCTTCTGGCTGTCTCCTCTGGACCATGAGTGTCACGGGGTGTGGGGCTCGTGGGCCTGCTCACCCCTCACGCCGGTGTCTTGGTTAGGGACGCCCACCTCTGCCACCCAGAAGGTCAGGCGTGCAAGCAGGCAGGCACAGCATGGCTGGGCGACCCCAGTTCTCATGATGTCTGCAAAGGTCACTGGTGGCTCTGTACAAAGTCACCAGGGGGACACAGGGACCCTGGAAGGCCACCCACAAACAAGCCAGATTCCAGCCAGATTCCAGAGAGAGGGCAGCACACCCACGTGGGGTGGTTCCGGGGTCTGCAGCCTGTCCAGCCTGCCTCACCCCAGGTCCCTCCTGCAGGAAGAAGCAGAGTTGGTGACCTCAGCCATCACAGAGCTGCAGCTGCTCCCCACAGACCTCCTCCTGGCCCACGGCACCTGCTCTAAGGCCCGCCTGCCAATCAGGGACCCCAGGGTGCAGATACAGGCTCAGGTCTGCTGGCTCCTGGGACGGGCAGCAGGGAAGGAGAGGAGGCCCCGCCCAGGGAGCACTGAACGGCCCATGGCGCTGGCTTTGCCAGCAGTTGCAGAACCCTGCTCTGCAAGCTGCAGAGACACGGGTGATGCTGCCACAGTGTCCACCATGGGGGCCACAAGCCACACATGGCTACTTCAATTAAACTGATTAAAAGTAAATAGAATTGAAAACCCAGTTCCCCAGTCACCCTTGAAAGTCTGATGTCACCCTCTCAAAGTTTAGCAGCTCACGGGTCTCATTCAGCTCCACTGAACAGAGGAGATGAAACAGTTCCATGTGGCAGAAGGTTCCAGGGGACAGTGCTGCACGAGACAGCTGCTGAGACCCTGCCATGAGCCCGGCACAGGCCCAGGTCCTAGACAGAACCCAGAGATTTATCACCACAGTCCCTATTCTCAGGGTGCCGGCTTCTTGCTGGCCATGCAGGTAAGTCAGTGCTTTGCCATCAGAGTTGTTCCTGGACCAGCAGGAAGATCAACAACCGAAGTGGACCAGGCTAAGGCAATAAGGACAGTTGGGGACCATGGCAAATGGTCAAGCAAACAATCCATCTACAAGGGGCAGCTGGTAGTTAGCCCCAAATGCTTAGTGCCCTGCAGGATGAAGTCTTGTCTTGCCAGACTGATTGTTGGAGAAAATTGTTGGTTTTCTATGTCAGCCTGGTTGCCTTATCAGTACAAGATGGCTGCCACAGATCCAGGCATCACATCCTCACATAATGGTACGTCAAGCAGGAAGAGAGAAATAGAGGGCCACCTCCACTTTTAGGGCTTCTTTGTCAGGGAAGACTAAACTTCTCAGTTGTCCTCATCATCCTTCCCCACATCTCATTGGGCAGAACTGAGTCACATGTCCACCTTGGGCCAATCACTGATGAGAAGAATGAGTTGGCCATGATTGGCTTTAACCAAATGCGATTCCACCCCCATGCACCTGGCTGGGTTGATGGGGTCGGCGCCCCAGGTGCTCCTGGGAGCTCTCTAGGGCTCTGTTCTTGGGATCCGGGCTTGCTTGGGGCCTGTCTCGTTCTCCCAGGCCTTGACTGACCAACACACTGAGGAGGAGAGAAGAAAAAAGCCCAAGCAAATCACCGGGAGCTGAAACCACACATGAGCTGCCCAGAGATGCGGCCCAGAGCCAGCCTGTGCCGGGAGCACCCCACCCACGGCCCTCCCTTGACTCCCACTTCACTTTTCTCCTGATTTAAGTGTTTCATCATTTTTATTCATTAAAACAAAAACTTAGGAAGCAGAGTTCACTCTGCCCCCAGCCATCTCACAGCACCTCTGGGGAGCTGGACCTGAATGGCCTCCCCCAAGAGGTCGCTACTGCCCGACTGCTCCTGCCCTGGCACCTTGCCTGACCTCTCCTCAGAGCCTGCCTCTGTGACTCTGGCGGGGCTGGGGACCTGCACCCAGCCCTGCTGCAACCCCATTGATTTCCCCTCACATCCCATTACCGTGATTTATGCACGTGGCCTCTGAGCACTGGCTTCAGGTGAGGGATGGGGATGGACCCTCCCTGGGCTTGGGCCTCAAAGACCACCCCCCAGTCCAGCTGAGAGTCATCTCCCCACCTCTCCATGCTGGGCTCACAGGTGGTGTTTGCAGACCTGGCGCCTCTCTGTTCCCATGGTAACCGCCACCCTTATTTTGTAGATGGGGAAGCTGAGGCTGGGGAGAGGGTCTCACAGCTGGGAAGAGTCAGCTGAGTTTGAAGGAGGGGCCCTGGGGCCACACTTCCCCCAGCTGTCCCCCCGGGGGGCTTCCCTGGTGCAGGTCCGGCAGGGGCAGCGTTGGCCCCTCTCCAGGTGGAGGTGGAGCTCAGACAAGACCCAGGAGGACAGGAGTGGCCAGGAAGGAGAAGGGCGGCCACCAACACAGAGGGGCCACAAGTACCGGACACAGGTAGGACCTGGGCTCTGCCCTGGGTCACTTCCACTGCCTCTTCTCTGGGCTGACCCCAGCACCCAGCAGTCAGCCCCACTGAGGGTCCCCAGCACCCCTCACTGTGTGCATTGCCCCTGCTGCCAACAACCCCAGTGTCCCCCGGCTCCTGGGTGTCACAGGGTGACCCCATTGCAAGGCTGTCGGTTCCCACAGCAGGAAGCCGGGGCTCTTGGGCATGCGCAGGGGTGGCAGCTGCAGGGGTGAGGGTGGAGGCGTAGGGAGA